TGTGGCAATATACCAAACAGTTAGCGATAATTTATATACTCAGTATCTCTACATAAGTATTGTATTCCGTTTTGAGTAATAGCTGGTCAAAAATGTACGCCATACTATGATTTACTGACTTTTCTGACATTTCACTGGATTAGATTATCACTAGTTAAATTGTTTTTGCTTTTAAGCTAGAAAAACTTCATAACTCTTTATCACAATATTTGTTAATTTATTATATTGCAGTTTTGCGAAAAAAAAATTTTTAAAAATGTTTCTGGTTGCTAATAAAAATTATTGCATATTGTGAAATGTATATTTAATGCTTGGCCACATTTTCATTTAAATAAGAATTGCTACAATTTATATACAAATTTATATACATAAAAAAAAGTCTCAAAAGTACAGCTATTAAAAATTCTATGAAGTCATAAAATAGGATTACTCATACGCCCTAGTGTACATTAAGAACCTTCACAAAGTGGAAGAATAAACGTTAATGAATCACATTTGGTTGGATGTGTGTATGGGGTTTTATTAAAAAAAATATACATAAAAATTGTCTTTAAAATTTATAAATAGTCAGACCTTAAAGTAAGTACCAAAATCGAACAGACATATTTAATTCCCAAAGTATACTTTTTTCTTATAACTTCACATACAGTTAATTTCAGTAAAAAAAATTATTTGTAATAAAAATATAAAAAAAATTAATTAAAAATACTATTAAGCAGCAAAGTTTAATCAACAAAAAATATCAACAATTTTATGAAGGCGGCAAAATTTCATCAGTTATTTTTATGATAAAGTTAGTTGCGAAGCACGTGATCCGGTTTAAGTTAATAAGCTTTATCGTTATTTGGTAACCAATTCAAAATGCTATACTTTTGACAGTCATTATCATTTAACTATTATTATAAAACTTGTAGTAAACGTTGATATGAATGTCAACACTTCGCTATTAACTTTTCGATGCAAATATAGTAAACAAAAAATATGATTAAAATTAATACATATGTACAAATATAGAATGTAAATGAACGATAAGATTAAATCACTCATAATTATGGGAAATCCCCGCATAATGAAATTTCAACTGGAGTCAGACAAATTGTTAAAATATATATTGGGAATTATGCGTAGCTTGACAGGGAAGAACTCAACTCTAAGGAAATTTATAAAATAAACTATATTTCACCACCACTGCTGTACTAAATTTGTTAAATATCTTATCTTTATTTCTTAATAATATTCTTATAATGTGAACTTGAAAATATATCTTGGGAGATTTTTATAGCTCTACGAAGAACTCTAAAAATTTTAAATGAAAACCATATTTTACCATCACTAATTTACAAAATATCTTAATATTTTAAGATAACTGATCTTTTTTTAATAATATCCTAGTACTGATCTTAAGAATATACATATATTGAATGTTTTAAATAGCTTTACAAAGAACTCTCTCTCGAAAAGTTTTTAATAAAAACCATATAGGAGTTTTATATAAAACTCTTTTTTAAAAAAATATTTTAGTATTTAGATCTAGTACTGACCTAAGTTACATAGGCCGATATATTCACAGCTCTTTGTTTGGTTAAATTTCCTATATAAAACAAAAACAAAAACAAAAAAACTGCTATGCTTATATTTGCACACTCGTATAATTTACTAATTATTTATTACAGTCACGAGTTTTCTGTTTACGTACATAGGCACGCACATACAAACGTATGTTGTGTATGAAAATATTGATAAAAATAAAAACAAATGAGGTATGCATACGGCAGCACTCCAACAAAAGTGCGCTACTAATCTTTATTAATCAATTTATTTTAATTTTTTAATTTTTAATTTTTATTTATTTTTATTGTATTTATTTGTTTTAGCGTAATTACAAATTAAAGATATTAAAATAAATAGTTTAAATTGTTTGCATTAATATTTTCATAGTCATATTCACAAACTAACATAATTATTATATATAATAATTGTTATATATAATAATGTTGTACATATTATTAATTATTACACATATTAATATACATAATAATTATTATGCATTATAGTTCTACAATTAAACTATATACATTAAAACAATTATACATTAAAACTATATTAAAAAACATTGCACAAAATTAAGTCACTGCCATACCATAGGCAGCCTAAGTTATAATTGGTACAATTATATAATGACTTATTCTTAAACAAAATTTAAAGTAAAAACTTTAAAAAGTAAAAGTCTACAAAAATGATTTAGGGTAGCACAAGAATCAAACCTTGATTTTAAAAAATAGATATGACATTAAACAGAAAAAATCTGATCAAAAATGATAATTTTGAAGTACAAAAATGTAAAATTGAAATAGATAACCTGATATGTAAGGGAGATTTGATAACAAAAATTCTAACTTGGAAGTAGCAATTGAAAGAAAAAAACAAATTTAATTTTAAAAACGACATAAAAAAAATTATAAATATACAAATTATGTCATAGCATATATGTTAAGTTTCAATTCGATTCAGGTATTACTAAATATTTGTTTTTAGTAGTAGTTTAATTGATACGTTAATTGAAACTATAAAATTATTACTAATTATTATAAAGTATGTATATATATTTACGTACAGTTATCGTTCACATTTAAAAAAATTAATCAATTTTTTTGTACTCTTCCAATAATTACTGAAATATTACGTATAGACATAATTGTAAGTCTTTTTTAAATATTTATTTGGTAAGCTTTTATTGTTCTTAGTGTTGTAACCCATAGGCATTAGATCGTATAATCCCTTCTCGGTATGGCGAACAGCACTAGGTCGTCGAACTCGACGAGTGGCACCAGGATGTAGACCCGGTCGTTCTTTAAAAATATTCGTTAAAAAGTTTGATGGAAACATAATACCCAAACTGTAGCTCTACCCCCATGACGTTGCCCATCTGTTCTCTTGCCGTAACTAGGTTTCTTCGGCTGAACCCTGGTTAATTTCAATTATATCCTTCCCCCTTTCCCCTTCCTTTATCCCCTTAACTCTAACACCATCTATCCACTCCCTTACCCATGTATTCGTCTTGTAATCCTTACATGTTATCTGCTTTTAGATCCTGGCGGGTTGCAACAACAGCAACGATATGGAAACATAATAAATTACAATTAGACAAATTCAGCATTCGTTCGGATATATAGTTATGTTCTGCAGACACTCGTTTACGCAAAAAACTTTCACTAACCAAAAACGTGAAACAATAATGAATATTAAAAATTAGATCGAGTCATTCGTATAAAGATTTGTATTCGTATAAAGACATCGTAGAAAGTTCAAATTAGCAAGATATTTAGACAAGATAATAAACAAAGTACTTAAAATGCAAAAAAATACTTATACCAAAAAATATCTGAAATACGAAAAAATCAGATATAGTCAGTCCAATACCTTATAACATCACATACATAAGGTTTTTTATTACCTTACGTAGTAAAATATATAATAATATATTACAAAATAAACTAATTCCAGTAACGAATACCTTATAGTGGTAACTTGAGTTGATTTATGAAGAATTAAACTTAATTATAATAAAAAAATATATTTCATTAATAGCTCTTCTTAATGTATATACAAATATCAAAACAATTTAATATTAAAAGAAAAAAATTATTTCTAAAAATTCTATCTATAAATGGCTTCAAATTTATTTCTATTAAAAATGAAATGAATTGTTAGTTATTTGCACATTGTACACCTATCCTAGCCTTGCCCTACACTTATTATAGTCCAATAAATTAGTTAGTAATGACCCATATGTAGCGATAAATTACTCACAGATAAACAAATGGGAATTATATGTGAAAAGCTAATTAAATTTGATTAACAGTTCAATGGTTTTGTATGTACTGCAATTCACACCTTTTCCCGACCATTTATCAACGGTATGTAAACAAACACATTAAAGCCATTTACACAGTACACAGTATGCTTTGTTGTAGGGTGCATTGAATGAGAACGGTTTCCTCCTCTAAGACTTAATGCGGCATATTCAATAACTCTGCGGAGAGCAGGCCTGTCGCAAAGACCAAAGTCATGTGAATGTGTGTGTGTGACATAATAATCACGGGAGACAGCAAACCGATTAGCGAGTCATGTGATTATTTTATTTACATTTATTCATTCATGATCGTACGTTTGTGTTTGAGAATTTTGCACAAGAGTATAAGTATGCGAGTTGTAGGTCAGCGCGGGATAAAAATATTGTGTATTTTATCTCTTCTACTGTGCCCAAAATTTTTGCGTTTATGGATGGTAAAATAACAAATGCTGCAGCATACAGGGTCTATACAGGGTCTGTTCATATTTTAAACAGGAAATTTTTTTTTTTTTATTGAATTTTTAATTAAAATTCTCAGTAAAAAGTCCAAGTACTACAGATGGCATGAACTCAATTATAGATAACAGATAGATAAAATATAGCGCTTTATTTTATATTTTTTTAGATAAGTAATACAACCCATTAACATGATCGAAATCTGGAATGATACTACCACTTAAGTCTTATCACAATTGTCATCAATATATCAATTTGAGCATAATTCTTTAATTGTATATACCAAAACTTAGAAATATATATAAAACAAAATTCGATAGAAGAAATGTATATATATTTTCAATGATACCATATCATCTATATGATATCAAAAAAATGAATTAATTTTTCTTTTGAAATAAGTCAGTTATTTTCCAAATTCGATAACCATATAGAATTATATTGTTAAACTTGAATTTTTATATCAAATTCTACTGATTCTTTGGCATACACCCTGTACAAAAGCACCACAACATTTCACAAAGAAAAAAATAAAAAAAAAAATTATTAAAAATAAATTCACTTATATTTTGAATAGATTTCAGCCACAATAATTAATATTGAATTGTCAAATTAGAAAATCTGTATTGCTTTGTAATTAAATATACTTTCTATTGCAGTAAATTAAATTTTGTTTTTTTGCCAATTTTACCTTAAATAATTTTTTGAGTGCACTGTTTGTGCGCTGGTGTGCTGACGTTTACTGTTAGCATTCAATGACGATGACGGCCAAGATGCACTTGATGACGATGATGAACTTTTATTATTAGCAGTTGGGGTTGAATGCGTTGGTGCTGATGGTGCTGACGTTGCCGACGGAAAGAAAAGTTTATTCAATAATGCCATAATACAATAAACTAATGCCAAAACTATTTTATTGAGCTTTCTTTTTTCACTTTTGTTTTTTTCTCATATCTTATTATATGCTGGGAATACGGCAGCAACACAACATAGACTAGCACAAAACTAGCATATTAAAAACACAATAAAAAATCTATACTCCACGTGGTATAGAACACATATAGAAATTTATTATACTTGTCTTCCATGTCATAATTCTTTAGGTAATTTATCGTTTTTTCATTTAAACTTTAACGACCTTATTTATGTTAACTGTAAATTTTATTTGCTTGTTTTTCTTTTTTTATGTTTTAAAGAAATATACATATCAATTCAAATAACACAAACATATTATTTACGATCGCGATATGTAAGCATAAAGCAAAGATCACAACCTTGCAGCCGCACAATACTCCTTCTTAAACAATATCGCTACGGTCACTGAATTAATCGCATTTCGTTCACTTCTTTTTGCTGAGCGAATATTTGCCTTGTGTTTCTGTATGTGATTTGTTTTTACGTACTCTTGTGTTATTATTATTATTATTGTTGTTGTTGTTGTTGTTATTATTCTATAAACAACAATACGAATACAATTGATTTTATGTAAGGAAATTTTCGTACTAAACCATAGAGCTTACTTCAGCTTTCGCAAATACAATATGTTGAAGTAGAAAATGAATACATATCTGCAAGCAGTTTTTATAAGTTGAATTTTTAGCACTTTAAAACCAAATTATATTATATTATATATACAATACATATATGAAATACGCGTAAAACCACAGGAAGTCTTATTTCTTTATCATACATTTCACCTATAAAAAGCATTTGAATATTATATTTAATTAAAAGTTTGCTGAATATCACATCACGTGTGTACTATTTTAATCTATAATTTTATTCGGAAACCGAAAGAGTAGAAAATTAAAAACTGTTAAGCATAAAATTGCACTTATGCGATTAGTTTTATTTATTTTTTATTTTAACACGATATGTCACTACAATTTTTTTTTGCGTTAAAATTTCAATTTCGATATTTCCTTATTGCTTAGAATTTGTTTTCACCATTTCTACACCTTCCCAATTGCACAAAACAATGCACTCTATATTATAACAACAAACGCTAATACTTAGCTTCGTTCTGTGTTTATTTCTCTTTATTTTCTTTTCAGTTTTTGCAAACCGTGGAAATGTGGCCATATCGATAATATTTTTGTGGCGTTTCTCAGTAACTTTTGATATTCACAATAAACAAAATATTTCTTTGGCTATCATGTGACTCATATATGGTGCTTATACAAGCAGTCAATTAAAAAAAATTTTCACACTATAATTAAAGCAATCTCAATAATTATATTAATTTATTTAAGTTAAAAACATTTTACTTTTTTTATTTAGTAATTATTATTGCGGTGTTCCATTGATGTTTCTGAATCAAGTTTTTGACAGAACTTTGGACAGTTTCATATCCAAATTCCACTGGTAATAGGTATATTCTTTGACATAAATGTTCAAACAGAACACGTATCGCTTAAAAATTCGCAAAAATAAGCCTACTTTCCTTAATGAATAAGCCACTTGCATTACAATGGCGTCAAATCTTAAAACTGATCTATAGTGAATGATTTTTGGAGGAAATGGAATATTTCAGTCAGATGACAAAGGAATTTGTTTATTATTTATAACTATTACGATTATTAGTGAATATATTTAAATATTTTAAAAAGAAATTTTTTTAATAAAATTTGTAAATATAACAAGCTAGTAATTGTAAAGACGTCATTCATTAATTATTTATTAAGGAGTTTATAATTTTCATTATGTTCATTAAAAAATTCAATACAATAATAAATAAAAAACAAAATCGTTATTATAAAAGCAAAAAGTATAAAAACAATTGCAAGAAAAATAAAACAGTGTTAAAAACTGTTCATTTAGCATTAACTAGTGATGTCAGAAGTTTGAAAATTATATAAACGAATTTATTGACGATCTCGTATTGGAATAATTACAAAAACTCGATATAATCAGTTATTCATGTACTAAAAGATGCGCGGTAAATATGAATTTGCATAAAAAATCATAATTTTTTGGTCATTTCTGTATTTAAAATGTGTCATAACTTGAACTACTTTTTAAAATTGCATTTCTTATAAACAGTGTTTTCCTTACAGTTGTCAAAATTTCATCCCAGCTGCATCCATGCTATTAATAATAACATAAGATTTAACTCCATGTCTGATGAGTACAACACAAATAAGGTTTTCATGGACTGTTACATAGTCCTACCTACCTATCTGGACTATTCTGAACACAATAAATCCTATACTGCACTACATATTGTTATTTATATATATTATTATTTCATTGTTTCATTTTGGTTTTATATGTATTTGCAATTTTTTTTTGTTATTTATACATACATTTATATATATATTTTTAACATTTACAAAATAATTAATTAGAGTTTAATATGTTGATTCACGTAAACATTCACAATAACTAGATTCAATTTTTACATTTTCGTAAAATGGTTTAAATTTCATTTAATTTTAAATTTGTGATTTAATTTACTTTTTAACTTAAATTTTGAATGTTGATGTGAAATACCATATAAGTTATAATATTATAAAAGGAAAAAATTGCACATATTATCTAGAGTATATAGAATTTTATAGTTTATTTGTAATAGTTCAATACAACTTAATTTTGTGATGTGTAATATCTATAATCTAATACTACTTAAAGTTTGTCGTATATTTTAATTTTCGGGTGGCAATTTCTTTCTATTTCCAACAATATATACTGTGTACTCATTCATGTAACAAAATAAAATAAAATCAAAAAACTTAATCCATACGGGTACACAATTATTTCTATTGTAAATTATTTAGAATAAATTTATCATTTAAAATTATTTATATGTGCATAATTAAATTTAATTTCACCTGATTTTTATAATTCATAAATTCATTTTTACGGTGAATACTAATTTCGACTTCTTCTTGCAGTTATGTATAGCCATCTCACTCTGCACAACGGTAGTGTTTGTTCCACCACGTTGCGGCCATTATGACTATTTCTATATGAATTGCTTATTTTACTTTGGATAGTCGTGCTGAGTGGAAATAAATTCGTTGTGAAAATTTGTGAAATAAAAAGTATGATTATTTAAATAAAAAAAAATAATAGTGGCCTTCATACAGTAATAAAATTAAAATTAAGTAAAATATAAAGTATAATTTAAATATTTTAATAACTATATTATTAAGCATAAGAATAAAGATTAATAACTTGTACATTTTTACGAAAAAAAAAGAAAACAATAACTAAGGTGAGCCTCATTACAATAAATATTTAGTATATAAATATATTAACATTTAATAGAAAAATTAATAGAATTTAAACATAAATATTGGCATGTGATTTTTTCTGAATATACCTAAAAATAATAAAATTTAAACCAAAAAATTTTTCTTGGTTTAATTTGCATTTTGATATGCGTGAATGTGGGGGTATTTTTATAAAGAAAACATATATAAATGAGTCTTAAAAGTAGTTACCAGTTGAAAACATAGGTGTGAATGAGATAGGTACATTGTTTATTTTTTATTTTCATATAATAACAGTTGCCATATTTGATTTCAATGATTTGTGTACATGAATATACGATTAGACTGGTGGATGTCTAATTATCTTTTGGAGATTAATTTAAACGAAGTATTTAAGTAATAATTTATTTAACTATTATTTATTTGTGTTTAATTATTTTCGTTAAATTAGTAGTTGTTTTGTAAGTGTTGTTTATAAAATAAAATATATTTATAAATATACTTTTCGGTATTAGAATGGATTGTCGGATATTAATTACTTATAAATGTATCTTTTTTATAATTCAATTCATTGATGTAACATCAGAATTAGAGTAATTTAAACTGCTTGCCGTTTAAGGATGTACAATTTAATAATTGCATTTTAAGGTGGCAGCACTGTGGAAGCAGAATGTCAATTTATTGAAGTGCATCGTGCATACATTTGTTATTATCAAAATTCTGCCTAAATTTCCACCATTTTTATTTCACCTTGTATAACAATACAATAGAAATTAGAAACGCCTTTGAAATCCTTGCTTAAACGACAGCTGCAAACTACTCTTTGTGCTGCTGCTATAGACTTGTGTGTTTTGTTGATATTGAAATTACGCAGCAGGTACACACATTCGTTTTAAAATTTCTTCACAGCAGTTGGCTGTTTCTGAGTGAAACTAATACCAAAGAGTACTTAACAAATTATCAAATTAAATTAATTTTGTTTAATATATGTGTTTTATACTTCCTTTTTTTTATATATAGATAACTCTTCCATTTCGTGTCAAATATATAGACTGTTAATACTATGGCTTGCGCTACCCTCAAACGTGCCCTCGACTGGGAAAATTTAAATCAAAGACCAGCTAAGAGGCGACGTTGCAATCCTTTTGGACAAGCAGGCAATGGATCGCCCAGCCGTTCAGCTACATCTCTTTCTGGTGCTGGTTCTAACACAAATATGTGCCATGAAATTTCACCTGGTGCTTTGGGTCAATTACCCAATGGTCGTTTGGCAAAAGAACATCAAAGTGCATTTGTAGACGTAACAGTTGAAAAGATGTCTCCAGGTAATTTAAATATATATTCTGTTAAATTTTTATAAAGTGATTAATGTTAATTCACGACTTATTTAAAAATAGATAAAATGGCACAAAATATTCGTGATGAAATTAAAAGACTTCATAAACGTAAGCAGTTGCCCTTTTCAGCAGCAGCTATTGAACGAATGCAGGATTCAGAATCAAGTGGTTCTGAAATGGGTTTAGATAGTCCTCGCCGCCCGGATAGTCCACCAAGTATGTTAAGGAATCCAGAAAAGGCTTTATTCAGTTTTAAACAGGTATGTACATAAATAATTTAAGATATTTACTTCTAACTAATTAAAATTGATATCTGTTGCAAGTTAACTATTTTATATTTTAAATTATGTTCTAAAATATAAGATAAATAAATTTACTACTTTATGATGAATAAACACTACTTTACTTTAATTTTGTTGTGAACCGTAATTAATATGTTCTAATTTTTACATCAAAACTAGCTTTTACTTTGAACATATTACGCTAATTGCTATTTTTTTATTTGTTCATTTTAATCTGTTGCATTTTGTAACTTCGCTTTATAAAATTGTAGTCATCTAATAAATTATAAGCGATATTTTTGTGTTGTATATATTTAATAGATTATACTCTCATTTAATAGAAAATCGTCAAAAAATGTAATTATGATTAACATTGTATTTTATTCAATTCCGTTATTTTACAAAACAATTTTGTTATAAATCAAAATTATTATAATTATTGTTGTATTGTTATCTTTTTATATTTATTTTAAGGACTAAATCCTTTCAAATATTTAGTTTGTATATTTTTTCTTTTTTACTCTGTTATTTTACAATATGTTTTCCTTATTAATCAAACGTACTAAATTTAAATAATTATTGTTGTATTAAGTAACAATTTATTTGTAATTTATTTAAATATTTCAAACTGTATTTACCAATAAAGTGTTTTTATAAAATTACTAATTTTTCAGGTTCAATTGATTTGTGAGCGTATGCTGAAGGAACGTGAGGATCAGTTACGCGAGAAGTATGACGTAGTTTTGACTCAAAAATTAGCTGAACAATATGATGCCTTTGTTAAATTTACTTATGATCAGATACAAAAGCGTTATGAAGCAGCGCCAAGCTGTAAGTTATAATTAAAATAAAACAAATATTTATTTAAATGTTTATATTTATGTTCTTTTTATATATTATAGATCTTTCATAATCGGACCTCAATGTACTAGTCTCTAGTAATTTGCAGCGATAATAATAAAAATTATCTATTTTTTTCTAATATAATTTAAACATTTAACTACCCAACTTCTAGGGTTCATATTAAAAATGCTTTATTTTGTTTTCAAAAATTCTAATTAATTTGTTTACTAAAAATAAAAAAAAATGAGAAAAATTAAAATATTTTATAAAAATAGTTACAAAAGAAAAAAAAATATAAAAAAAAACGTACGAATAGATATATATTTTAACTCTTTTTTTCGAAAAAGAGACTATAATATTTAAAAAAGTACATGAATTAACCTTTATAATGGATTTAAATTAGAGATAAGTGAAAGCTATTAAATATGAAATTTATAAATATATATAAAAGATATCACGGAAAACTATATTAAAATATATATCTACTGAACTATATACATAAAATACGCTGATTAAACAATTATTCTAAAAGTCGACAAATACAGAAAGCAAGAAATGAACAAAACTTCGTCATGAGTAAGGAAAAAAATAAATATTAAAGTACAAGTGATGAAAACCTCGATAATGCTAATAGAATTAGTTAAAACAATATACAACAATATAAAGTAAATTGTAAAATAGCAATAAGAACACAACACCTTGTAACCAACTCCTTGTAAAATGTTATGCCTCTTTTGTTTTCTGCCAAATAATAAAAAAAGAACAGTAAAGACATTAGTTTAACAATTTTATATGAAATTAACATAGTTTATTTAAACATGTAAAATTAGTTTATAATATTTTTAATTATAAAGAAATCAACTGAAGTTAAGAATTATAAACATAATTTTTTATTTTTGCTTTTTGCATATCTTACATTTCTTATTCTTCGTATTAAGCGTTGAATTTATATATATTATATTTTTAATATATCTCATTCTTATTAGTAACTTAATATTAGAAAAATGCCATTTTTATATTAAAAATAAATAATAAATGAAATTTTTTTTTAATTTTAATGCAACTGTTGAGAGAAAATCTCTTGTTTTTTTTTACTAAATTTGCAATGCTGAATCCCTCCGTTGGCGTATAAGTTAAAATTATCGTTCTCCGGACATCAAAGTTTATTTAACCAATATTTGCTTGAAAAAAAACAGAACACAATATATTTTAATAAAATATTCATCTATAAATGTTAAAAATTCTAACATTTCTTTTCTTATATGGTATATCACAATTTTCGCAAATAAAGTGATGGCGTTCGCATTCGGAAAATAATATTAGAATAGTAAACTTTTAAGGATCGACTATTTACAGATTTCAGTTTCTATTAGAAATCGCAAACAGTTCCACCGATATTTCCTATACACTATAGAGGTATTTATCGAAACCAGTTGATGGAATATTTGGAAATAACACTGGCAATTAATATTGGCGGCATGTGTAGTAACCTTAAAATATTATAAATTAACAATAAAGGACGTTATTACAGTCGATCCTTAAGGTCTCAAGGTGTGTTCAATTACTATAAGCTTACTTTGTGCGCAAACTGATATGTAGGGTCAAAATAGTATATCTTTGTAAAATTTTATATCCTCCATATATTGTACGATGATATTGTCGCCATGCAATCTACCCGTATCATATAATTAACAATAAAGAACGAGACTTCACAATGTCTAGGTCTGGTTAATTACTGTGAATCTAGCCTATATGCGAATAAGAAGCTAGGGTACTGATCTTAATAAAATCTTAGATCTTTCATTTGTATGGCATTATAAAAGAAAGGTCTATCAAATTTAGTTGTACTTTTTTTGTATGAATAATGATCTTAATTTTAATGGCTTTAAAATAAAAATAAATTTGCGTTTTTTATCTATCAATTAAATATATTTATAGTACACGAATAATATATTTAATAATTTTTTAATTGATTTTATTAATGAAAAAAATTATACTACATTCCAGCAAAAGCCTTCACTGTAATATATCAATTATTGTAATAAATATAATATATTGCAATAACGGTTATTTATTATAATGAATATCACTTATTATAATAAATATTATTTACATTAATAAATATGATTTGTCATAATAAATATTATTTCTTATAATAAATATTCTTCATCATTACAAATATGGTTTTTGTAAGAAATCTCGCTTATATTAAATATTTTTCATTATAATAAATGATATATATAGCTAATCGAATTGTAGTGAAAGCAATACAATTATTGTTGCTATCAGATCATTATACTACCTTTTATATAATTGAAATGCAGGGTTGTATTCGATTTCCGCATTAATTATATTGAAATTTATCATTTGTAATCTAATAGTATTTCTAACTGGTATTAACTAATTTAAAAAAAATGCATATATCCATGTTTTTCAAAATCGCTATTCAAGCTGGCGATTTTTATTATTTACAATAAAAAGGTATTTTTACTTATTATTCCGTATTTCATTTTATAAGCAAACGAATTTCTTCATACAAACGATTTCCTTCTATACAGAGACGAATTTATTCTAGAATTCTAAATTATATTTTACACAAATTAGTCACATATTGGAAATCCTAATATTGTTTTTACACTTACAATTTTCTGAACTCATTGACACATGTTTCTATAGATTTTGAAAAATTGACATTTTTTGATGCGTAGTTGTCCAGTTAATTACGATAGCATTAACCTACTATAATATTACAATACAACTACAACAATTGACTTATATTCATTACAATTCATTTAACCCATTTTGGATCTTTCAAATAAATATTAAACTTTTTTCATTTACTTTAACTTGTTTTATTTTACTATTTATTTCACCGTAAATTATCAAGTCTAAATTTGCCTGGTACTTAATGGGTTAATAATTAATACTGTTTACTACAATTGAACACAAATATCGAAATAAAAGCTTGAGCTAGAATGTACTACTCATTATTATTTTCAAAAACAAAAATATCTTGATTAGTTGTAATATTGTATGTCAACGCCTGATTGAACGCACTTTTATACCAAATTATGGTATAACACAAATTTGATGAGATGGCAGCTTTCCTTTAATATATTTTGCTTTGTACTCATTCGGGTGTTTTGTTGCAAGACTTTAATTCAGTAGCTTTTCGAGCGTAGACGGTAAAAAAAAGAAATTGGTGGAGATAGGAAAGAATATTACCATTTGTGCAATTATTTTTTCAATTTTTTACTACAGATTTTAACACATATTTTGTAGAAAGATATTTCCTAAATTGATCTAACTGCCGAATTTGAGTAATTCCGTATCATTTTAGATTAAAATATATTATTTCAGCAATATTAATAATCCAATATAAGTAGCGGCATAAAGGGTAGCAAGTGTAAAAGTCTAAAAATATTTTATAAAAATTCACGTATTATTATTATTTGTGAAGAAATAAACCGTAAAAATGGCTTTAAAAGTGTACATAAGTGGAATGTCGGGAAATAAAGAGGTAAGTGTAGTGGGCGGGGCAACTATCGAATTTACATAAATAAAATTTTAAAAGGAAAATGGTAAAACTACAATGGACATTCATTTAATTTGTGAAATGTAAGAATGTTGCAAACAAAAAAAAGTAAGAAAAATTTAATAGAAAGATGATTGAAGCAAATCAAATTAGTCAATTTGCTCATCAATAATATCTTTCGTTGGTTCTTGTCACAGCATAAGAATGCTAAGAAAGTGCTGCCACCTGTTATCTGCATATCGTTCATTTTACTTAATAAGGCGAAATACACTACGGAATGAACGCGTAGAATAACAAAATCACAGTGTCTTAGATAATACCAATTTTTAGGGGTGTTTTATAATGTAAACAAAAATTTAGAAAATAATATTTACAGATTTTATAATGAAAATAGAAATTAACCACAACTTCTTTCAATAATTCATCATTAAAAAATTTGCCTGCTTAAGGTGGCATCACAACGAACAATGTTATTGTTGTGTTATGAGCTAATTATTGTGTATGGTGGAATGAATCATTCCCTCAAACGGTTAGTTTGCAATTTATTAATTAATGCATTCTTTTCTATGTCTGATTCGACAAACGCCAGATAAATTCCATGCAGCTGTTTTGAAATACTGTTTCATCAAATAAAAATAATTATTTGTAAAATGCGTTTAATAAAAAAATATTTTTTAGGAAAATTATATCTATAAAGTCCTTATCACTAACACAAACAAACGTCGATATATTTTATCAAGAATTTGGAATATTATTCAAGTGTCGTTATATCTCATTTATTATTCATGAAATTTAAGGTCACTTTGCTGATAATTATGGAGAATGAATGTTATTAAATGTTCTTTTAATAGATATCTTTTATCGCAAATAAGAAACGATTGAGCAAAGAGTTACTTACTTAGATTTCCAATTTGAGGAATTGTCAGAATTGAACACAGGTGTCTTGAAAAAACATGTTTCTTATTTACAATAGATATATTATTAGATTAGAAAGAAAACTAAATTTCTCAATGCTATCACAACACAACATACAAACTAAATTCTTCTCCTGAGTGATGTGACGTATGATACTTTTTGAGACTTTTTGCTGGCTTTCTGCGACAACGGAGTGGAACTATGTTTTTCTAGGTCGGCTAATCGATGGCTATCTTCTGGGTTTTCCTGAGTAGCGGACTATCTATAATAATTTTCCTTTTCTTATTTTAATTTTGATAGAAATTCTGGTTGATAAGTCCAATACATTATCATTGGAGATTATAGATGACAGAAAATCACAGCAGTCGATTCTATTGCACTTGTTTAGGAATGTTTGTAGCTCATGACTAGTAAATTTTTATGGTTTTCTTGGTGTTAGAATCAAACCTACTCTGTTTCATCTGACACTAATGTTGAAAATGCGGACGTGTATGCATGTGATAAATCGCGTGCAGTGAATATGTATATAGCATTAGAAGATGGATCAGATTTTTGCAAAAAGTATATTCTTACCATAGTTTTTTCAATGTGTGTTTATAAAAGACAAAAGAAAAAAAAACAAAGCTTATACATATATATTGTGTTATTTATTTTTAAATTATACTTTAAATGTCTTTTTGGATCTTGGCATTGAGTTCCTCACCTGTTAAATATAATGTCAACCTATTTTACTATATAATATAAATATTTCATATAAATTTTATTTATATTTTCCGCTAATTGTTCTCTGCAGTGTTGCAACCTAGTCTACACACGTATTATATATCCGGTGTTTTAGAATCTAACGAGCTTTTACTAAAAGTTTTTCTAGTTGTTTGAACATCTTCTATATTTTTCGTAATAATTTTTAGTCTGTATGTTTTCACCAAAATAATTAATAAGTCCATTGACTTATTCAGCTTTATTCATATCCATTATCCATTATCCATTAACTTTATTCATAATCTAGTGAATTCATAGTTCTCATCTAAGTTAAACTGTAATACTTAAACCTATTTAGTAAAAACTGTATAAACATATATTGTTAAACCGTAACAATAAAGGAAACAGTATCCGTTGCTAATACAAGTAATTCTCTAACCCTAACTTATTTTTAAAAAGGTAGTCCTTTAGATTTGTAGACAAACTGATTTTTGGATTATTTAAAAATCACATTTATTCCAAACCTTTTTTTTTAAATAAATTAATACGATTCCAAAAAGGTCAACGTCTATTTTGATTTGTTAGATTTGTATCTATATGTTGTATTGTTTAAAGCGAAATGTTGTTATACCCGTGTTGTTCTAATGATTTTGTGTTAAGCTGCTAAATTCGACTTCTTTGTGTGAAGTGGTTCCGCTACGTATACCTGTCCGCTGCAGGAACTTTTCAAAAAAATAGACTTTGTTTTATTGACTCTAATATATTACCATTAGTTTTATTATAACTTCTTGATCGGGAAAAGTTTTAGCATTGTCACGATTAAACTCCGTTAAAAAAACAGTTATTCATTTTCAGATCAATTTTTAATTCTAACATAAAAAATTTAGATGTATTAACTAATGTCTGTCCAAAATTATAGGTTAAAAAACGTCAACAACGCGTTCTCATGATACTGGATAGCAAGAATATAAAATATGAAACAGTCGACATCACAGAACCTGGTAAAGAAAGTGAAAAAGAGTTCATGCAAACTAAATCAACTAGTAATGGTGCAACTGTTAGTGATCCAGAACCAAGACACGCTCTTCCACCACAAATTTTCAATGCTGAAGATTATTGCGGTGATTACGATGCCTTTGATTTGGCCAATGAAATTGATACCCTAGAACAATTTTTGAAATTGGCGCCAGCAGACACTACATCAGTGTCCAGCGCACAAATCGAGCTTAAAAAGGAGAATGGCGAGGTGCAGTCTGAGGAAAGCGAAAATAAAGAGAATGAAGAGAAAAAATCCGAGAATGAGCAAACTGCAGAACAAACCGACGGAACTGAGGGCGAGGCCACAAAAGATGTAGAGGTTTGAAATGCACATAAGTTTTGCAAAGCAAAATAATTTCTAACCCATCTAACTTACATGTAAATTGTGCTTCGCACAGGCCAACATAAGAGCACTTAATATTTTTTACTGTATAATTTAATTACAATTTTATTTAAATTATTTATTTTTTATTTAAAATTTTATTTTCTTAATTTTTATGTAGTGACTTTTGTTTTTTATAATATTAATTTTATATCAGAAGATTAATTTAATTTAACACTTAAATTGTTGTTTATCTGTATCTCTCTTTATATCTATCTCTCTCTCTGTCTTTCTCTCTATCTTTTTTTAAATATATATGTACATGTAATATAATATTTACGTATGTATTAACCATGCTATATTTGCGCACATTAAACTATTATTTATATAAATTTTATATAGAAGAAAATAAATAAAAAATTGTATTAAAAATACAAAATATTAAATCGCATAATTTGATTGCACTAAAAATTTGAAGCTTTAACTAATTATCGTCATAGTTTATTTATTACTATGAAATGTCGCCGGCTGTTTTATAAGCTAAGTTTAAAATTAGTTTTAGTACGAAGCTACGCCGCTTTTAAATAAATTGCTAGAAATAAGTGCAACTATTTAAAAACTCTGCCGCTACGTGAATTTAATGTACAGGACTTCACAGCTTTTCTTGTTTTTGGAGCACGGAATGGGGGTTCTCTGGACCCCGAAAACTCGATTTTATTAGGTAGTATTGTAAGCGCTTGTTGCAATAAATATGTCTTGTGTATGCTAGAAATCAAGCTGCTCTGTGGCAACGCTGCCTCAATTTACATGCGCGAAAACTGATAGCGCAAAACCGAATTTTATTATAAAAATTTCCATAAAAATTTTTAAGAACAAAGACGGAAATTCCGACCAGGATAATGATGGAACAAAAACTACAGACGACGCTAATACAACTGAAGACGGTGAAGCTGAGAAGGAGCAGGAAAAACAGGATGAGAGTGCAGAAAACAAAAGTGATGCTGTTGAGAAAGGTAAATGCAAATAAATAATTATCGCAATTTTGTATTGAGCACAACATATACATATATATATGAAAGATTCCGGAGAAGCAGATACAACAGAAGACATTCAAGATGAAAATAAAGAAAATATCGAAGCAGCAGCAGATGAAGAGTCAGAGGTAGGAGTCTGTGATAAATTATAGGGGCAATTCTTTGTCATAATCTGCTTATTTGCAAATTAATGCTAAAGACCCTGCATGTAGCCATCTTAATGAGTTTTTTCTTAAAGAACATTATAATAGCACATCTGAAGTAGGCAATACTTCTATCTTAAATTTAAGCCGTTCTGTTATTCATTGCTTAACATAAAGATCTCAGATCAAATAAATTTCCACTTACCAATCATGTGCAATAGATATAATTGGCATTAATATATTTTTATTTTTAAAAATATTAAGTTGAAATTTAGGAAGTCGTAGGTCGATATCATGGATTAGAGTAAATTTGACCTCAGATATTGCTATCATCCATTCTATAAAAATAGACCATAATCTGTTTGAAAAAAAAATAGAACCAGCATAATCATTTGGCCGCATTTTCTTGATCCAAAGTGAGTAAACAGTTTTACCCTTCACTCTATAGATAACATTGATATACTCAAATTGTTAGTCACTTGATTTAAGTCACATACTCGTAATAATATATTCCTCACCGTGGCTACAACACCATTAGATTATCGAAGTTTCTTCTCTGGTTGACACGAACGCTTCTAGTTTTACGTTTTTAGTTTACAAAAGTTACAACTCTCCATGAAACCCTTAAATCGATAATAACTAAATGATCCCCTCGAAGCTCAATTCGTTGAACATGACACAGATGTTCTGTCTCTTTTACAGATTGATATATAGATTAGTCACGTTATCAAAGGTAAACATGAAAATTGCAATTTAGTGCGATAGACTGAATCGTAACTGCTTACTTAGCAGTGATTATTGTTATTGTACCCTATTTGCCCTAGTGACTCTATTTAATCAAATTATTTGCAAAGAAGTCTAAATTGCAATTAGAGTATTATTATTTAAGAGTGAAAAAGAATATGGGATGTTATTAGTAATAACTCTTTTGGCTAGGTGTAGATTTGTATATATTGTATTAATACAGAGGGATTATATTGGCTGAGTGCATTGGTTCCCGTAAAGCAAAACGAAAGCTAAACGTACCTTTTTACACTCGTTTTATTTATGACAAGATAATTGCAACTAACCTATGTCTGTGCTTTTCCTATCTGGCATTAAAGCTAAATTATTGTAATTGATATTGATCTATTTTTGCATGATGCGATTTGCTTAATAAAACATTCAAATTGATTGAATTTTCAATAACATTTCCATTCCTTCTCAACCTTTTCGATCATACATTGGACTGATTATTCCCACATTAATGTTACAAATACTCAATTTACACATTACAAAAAAGTCTAAAGAAGATACTAACGTTAGTCAGGATAAAAAAGAGAATAATTCAACAGAATCGAAAGAAGGAACAAAGGATGAAGAAAAAAATGCTGAGGATCAGAAAGAAGCTACAGATGAAGAGGATAAGAAAGCTGATGAGGAAATTAGTAACGATAACGAAAATGATGATAATAAGGAAGTTGAAAAGCAAAGCAGTACCGAAGAAGAAGTTGATAAGAAAATTGAGGAAAAAACTAGTGATAACGAAGAAGAAAATAATGAAAATAAGACAGATAACAAGGATACAAAGGATGCTGAAGAACAAACAAAAGAAGATACAGAAAACAAGGATACTGAAGCATTGAATGTAAGGGATAAAGATGCTGCAGCAGACGAAGCAGATGAAAATATAATCAAAGAGCAGACTACTGCAGATACAGAAGAAAAAGGAGATAATGAAACTAAAAATGATAAGACAGACGTTAACACAGATGATAAAGCAAGTGTTCAAGAAGAATCTATCAATGGCAACATTGAAAAGGATGATAAGAGTGATGTAAAAACAGAGGATGAAAATGTGGAAATTAAAGCTGAAACTGATGAAACTGTGGAAGAGGCTGAAGTTAGAAAAGATGAAGAAGAAACAAAAGAAACTATTGAAAGCAATGTAGGTGAAACAGAAAGCAATATTAATGAAGAAAGTAGTGAAAACTTAGGCAAAACTGAAAAAGAAGAAGATGATGGAGTAACAGTAACAGAAGAAGAAACTGTTAAAAATAATGAAACTGACAATGAAACTGTTGATAAAGCTGCAGAAGAAGAAACGAAGAAAACAGAAATGAATGAAGAAGATAAGGAAAAAATTGTTGATACTGAATCAAAGTCTGTTGAAAATGATGAATCATCTGAAAAAAAAGAAGTGACAGCGGACGTTAGCTAATCTAGAGTACGAAAAAATGTACCAAGAAGAAGTTTTGCCAAAATCTCAATAAATAAATATTATCACAAAATATTACTTAACAAAATATAAACTTTTAATGGATATAAATTTGCAAACACCACATAGAGCACACACCTTTCATGTACTATACACGCATATAGTTTTTTTTTTTTGAATATTTAGTAGTCATGTAAATTGTAAATATGTATTAAGAACTGGAAAGATTGCATTAATAAAGAAACGGTTTTGGTGCCTAATTCTCATGGAATTTATTTTTAATATAATTTTTAATTATTGTATTCTTTTTATACTTTAGCTGTTATTAAATCTACCAAGTGAAGCGTCATCCCAGCAACATAGCTCAACTAAGTCCGAAAGTCAACAACTAATCGAGAGCGAGAAAGTAGGAGCGAGCAATTAGAATACATATAGATATCATTTCGGGTGCTTCAAACAAGACAACATAAAACAGACTAACAAGAATATAAGTTGTTATATTAATGCAATAATTAAGTGCTTAACTAAAAGAAGAATGTGAAATATGTTTTCCTCCTTAATTTATTTTTTAATAAAATAGATTGGCTACTAAAGTCTTTATATTACTTATATTCGTATTCACTTATTTAAAAATAAACTGAATTTTATTATAAAACTATTAAAAATGCGTTTATTAATAATTTATTATTTCCCTCAAATCATTCACTAAAATTGATTTTTATTTAACAGCTGTATTCTTGTCTTTTATACACGAAAAAAATAGATCAAGAAGTAAAAACGATTTCCCAATTACAAAAAATTTTGCTCATTTGTATTTGTAACTAGTAACTTTAGTATAAAAAAGCATGCAGCGTTATGGAATTATTCTGTGTCTTCGTCCTCCGACGAGTCAGTCGTATAGTCACTTAGATTTTCTTGTTGCTCATTGTTTTCTGGTTCCGATTCACTCAAATCCCATTGTGGGTGATCTGTAGGTGGAGCTGGAGCTTTCTTCACATCCAATTTAAGTTCTTGCTGCTGGTCCATTCCCAGATATGAATCTAAAATATTTAATTTTAAAGACATTAATATGTTATAATATTTAAGAAATAATTATTTTACATGTGACTAATGTTTAAATATTAATATTAGAAATGCAAACGCTGAGTAGTACGATAAGGTAAGTGACGCGAGATTAACTTAAAGTCTATTAGGATATGGTACGAATATACAACACAGCTTCTACAAATGATATTCGACACCTCTAATTAAAAAAATGGTTATTCCTAACAAGTTTTGTATATTTACTAAGCCTTAGAACCTTAGAGTATGGACTACCTACAATTTTTCTTAACATAGAACCTGATGAATGTGAATAAAAATTTAAGAGTATGGAAAATAAAAAAAAAACTGTTGAATTTTAAAGGCAGTCGTAATATAATCGTTAAAAAATTATATAGTTTTAGTCTAAATGTGAAACGTAATATGATTGACGGTATCTGAAAAAATACGTACGCAATGCTACAAATAGTGAGTGGATAATCAAAGATATGAATGAAGATATGAACTGCATATGTTCAAAAAAAAGATAATGTATATTATTGGACTGGTTCAATGACCATATATCTACGTTCTGATTCCTTCCATATCCTATACAACCACTTTTCTTCTCTCCTTACCCTTAACCATGTATTCTTATTCCTTCCTGTTTCCTGCTATATAAATCTCCACAGGCTACAAAACCAACAACAGTGGGTAAGTGAAATGATAGTCAGAAGCATTATGTAATTTATTAGTTCCAAGAACGGCCGGGTATATGTGTCGGAGCCACTCATCAACCACAAGTAGATCCCAACGGGTTACAACAACAATATTTAATTGATTAAATTGCTTCATTCACTGTATTAAAGTCTCTGTGAACCGGTTATATTAGTGCGCTGTTAATACATAAATTGTGATGATTTTCATGCTATTTATTCTGCGACTTTTAGAAATGCCTCCCATGTTTTTTCTTCAAATAAACAACTGATATCCGAAACGTGTTATTACACCCGAATGGCATCATTCATTGCGTAGAAAGTATATTTAAAGTTTTTTATTTAGAGTACAGTTTTTTCTAGTTCAAAAATTCGGAAATTGGCTTAAGTATTTATACATTCTTCTTCTCAAAGAAGCTGTATCTGAATAGCCCATACAACATGTCATCATTTTGTTGAAGAAAAAGCATCGGCCCTAGTTGAGAATAGAATCTTGATTTCAGAGTTTTTGGTGGTGCATATATTCTACTTCCCTAAAAAAATATTTAAATTTACTTTAAGTAATATAATAAGATAGCTTTTAACAGAACTGAAGTTATTCAGTAAAATTGTATACTTGGACGAGAGTTCCTACTTTGTTTTAGTTTTTTCCTTTTCTATGTTAATTGGATACAACAAAAAAAAAGTTTGAATCAAATGGTAATAATGAAATGGATAAAGGAAATTTGAAATTCAACCTAATTTTAAGTTATTGCAGATCTTTGTTATGTATTTTAACGATATAATGGAGTCAATTATACTTGTGGTCTCTTGCGAAGCAATTTACTTTAGATTATGTTTACCTGTATTACCTGTGAACGTATAAGTATTTTAATTATATGCCAAAATTTACTTACCAGATCTTAAACATACTGTGAAAGTATATACACCTGTCCAACGTGGTGCGGTAAAATTAAGTTGCACTTCTTCTTGATCCACAAGATCTGTGATGTGATACGGCGCTGTAATTAATGTGCGTGATTTGCGATCACATATGTACGTCCACCAATATTCTTGTTTTTCCTCTGGGAAATACGGACAATGCACAGTATGTGATATACGTGATTTCCCTTCAAGTTTTTCGCGCTTATTTAATTTCGCTTGCAGTTTTTCCCATTCCTCATCATCATCGTCATCATTTAATATAGGTTTTTTCTGTTTATCTTCGTCTTCGCTACCTGAAACAGATTCCTTTTCCTCTGAATCACTAGCACCTATATCTGACTCCGCTTCAGAATTTTGTTTTGATTGGTCCTGTATTTCTGCATTTGTGTTCGTTGTGACAGTTGCAGTTTTTTGATGTGCATTTGCTGTTTTCTTTTTTTGATTGTTAGCAGGTTTTTTAACACCCTTACCTCCTCTACCTTTCCTAGGTCTAGACCAAGCCGATGATTTTTTAACAGCAGCCGCGGTAGTTGCAGCATTTTCTTCTTCTTCTGATGATGCATCTCTACAAACAATTTTTTATTAACAAATTAATGTTTGCATCTCTAACTTTTAAAATAATTACTAAAATACAAAACAATATACACATGGTACTTACTTTATTGCTTGCTTCTCAGGTGCTTTAGTATCACCAAAAAGGCTTTTCATATCTTTTCGCACAAGGGATACAGTAACAGTTACAATAGCGCCGGCGGTGACCACATTGGTATTGTCATCATCAATAACTGCAATTATTCAATTTTAAAATGATTTTGTTATATTGTTATATTTTAATATTTGTAGACAAACCCACCTTCACAACGTATTGTGAAGTCAATAAGAGGCATTTTTCCCAACACCTTCATTACGTTATCATATTCAAAATCAGAAAGATTTTTTAACAATTGTCTACTTTCGTCAGGTTTTAACTGTGCGAATTGCTGCAAATTTTTAACGTGACGCTTCTTATTCATAAAATACAGATGATCTTCTGTAATGTGAGGTAGTTGCAGCAGCGGTGACTTATACTCCCATAATGCTTGTATAAGCATTGGCGAGAGTTTCATACAGTTTTCAATTGTTTCTATACTTGGTAGACGTGGTATGCGTCTTGCATATGCCAACATTACTAGCTGATGTACACATGAAATCATTTCTTGTACTAAATAGGGACACTTTTTAACAATAAATTGACGATCCTTTTCTAATGTGTCAGAATTTAATGCTATTCTTGATAGATGTGCGTGTAAAAGGGCACGAGCTTTAATGGAATACATGCGACACAACGGATGCTCTTTGCACTTTTCGTTCAAATTCGGCAATTGACGTATTAGCTAAAAAATCATCTGATATGAATTTTGTTACATAACGTATGTTAAAAAATACTTACTGCCGGCACTTCATCATTATCAGATTGTCGTTCCACAACTTCAGAGTTGTGACGCTTATCGAATTCCAAACTGGCTGCTAGCACCATGAGTGCTCGTTTCAGCAGCATATGTGGAGTTTTGTGTATAAAATACAAGTACATTTGTGTCGTGTCAAGTAACACTTTATCTCCCGAATACCGTATGGAACGATACCACCAAACTCCAACTACACTTGGTAGTGCAACCATAAAAATCAGACCATATAAACCTAGAACCCACACACTATTCTCTTTCTCAACAATCCATGAAGGTAATGCGATACCAAATGACATTGCACCTGGCCCATCGGGATTACCATACTTTTCATAATTTTCTTTGGCTACATCGTCCGTAAGCGCCTGATATGCTTTGGACAGCATCATAAAAGCTTTTTCATCACCCGTTTCTTTATCCGGATGTAATATTACAGATAATTTTCTGTACGCTTTTTTAATATCGGCCATTGATGCGGTGGGTGGTACTTTGAGAATTTCAAATGGATCAAAACTAGCAGCTTCATAATCAAATTGAGAGACTCTATAAGCTAAAAATATAATAAGAGCCCATCCGAGAACGAGTGCTAATCTTAAAAAAAAGGATTTAGCAGCCTGATATGGTTGTGCAGCTGCTACTATTACTTTTTTCTTAATACAATCTGGACATTGGCATTCTTCTTTTGACTTATTCGGATCTAAAAATAAAATATATAGTTAATATTAATAGGAAATACTATTTTAAAGATCTTTATCTCTTATATATACATACGAATTTTTTAATGTATATATAATAACTTAAAATATTAATATTTATATTTAAAATATCCGTTTTGATGCTCTGATTGTGTCGATTATTTTTGTACTCGCGCAGCTTTCACCTATCGCAGTTGAAGTCGACGCAGCTGCTTGCGCTGGAAAAGTACTAATTGGTACAAAGCGACATACGGAATTTTAATTACGAAAATACACTTTGCCCTAATTTTAATTTAACATAGCCGCTCATTTTGATATTTTTAATTAATTAGTTAGCCTCACCTTCTTTCTTTTTTCGTGGCCAATAATATAATGTTGTTGGTATTAGAATCAACGCAAGAAACGACAGCAAGAAATAATAAAATGTTCCACCGCTTTCATCATATTGAAACTTTTGTCCAGCCATGTCAAATGTTTATTTTTCTATATTCCGATTTTACTTCGTTTTGAACTGTATAATCCGTTGAAATATTGCGCTGATAAAAAAATGTTTAAACAAAAAATAATTAACTTTAATAAAATAATTCTCAACTGTCCTATCACATCATGACAGTGAAATGTGAAATATAGAATTTTGACACGTAAATTAAATAATTTGCGGCGAAAAATCTTAAAGCGAATTAGAATGTCAATAGATGACTGCTGCCTGATTTTTATAAAAAGAAACGTAACAGAAGTTTCTTGACAATACAAAACAAATTAGGTTAATGATATATAGCAAAAATCTCTAATTTATTGTTTACACATAAATATCTCATAATAAATCAAGCAGTTATTTATACAAATATTGATATAAATTATTATGTATATAGCGATTTAAGAATGTATTTGTACTTTGCAATTAGTGGACCTCAATTATCGATATATGCAAAATAAAATAGTATTTTATTATTATTAAGTATTTATTAAAATTTTATTTTCGAAATAACATATAAATAATTTATTGATAATATAATTTTCTTAACTTTAAATGTGTTGTTATTTTTATCATCCAATTTTATTTTTGTGTTGCTTCACAGCTACTAATTTAATTGCTGTAGTATAAACCCTTTATTTGAAATGCATAAAATTTTGCTAATTGATGTTCGATTACTCCGAAATGTAAACATTTTGAGAAATTCAAGGAAGAAATGTATGAAAGATAAATTTCCAAAAGGTTTCTAGTTAATTTTGAATGTAAAAATATGGTAAATTTATATTATTATTGATGGTAATTAGCACCGATTCAAATAGAAGTTTTGTGATTTATCTAAATTACCTAATTATTTTACAAACATTTGTTTTAAAAGACTTTAAATTTTAAAGAATTTAAATTTCCAATTTCAAATTTCTATCGAAAAACCAGACCAATACAATTTGAATGTCACAAGTTTACTAAGCCATGTGCGTGCAACTGTTTACAAATTGGAAAAATTTTTGCAAGTTTCGTTAAACTTGTTCTAAAAGTACACATATCATTCTGCCAAACAGAACAGGAAACCATGCATACACCTAACCTTACAAGTTATTTATGACATTACTGGTTAAATGGGTCATCGCATAAAAGACTTCAATACCAATTTTGTTGTACAATTTATCATTTTTCTTATAAAAAAAACTTCCTATCCCAATCAGAAATATAAAATTCTAAACAAAGTTTTATCAGATAAGACGATCGTTTACTTTATTACTAAACAAAAAATATTTGTTTGCTGTTTGTAAAATACAGATCACAAAGCCGCGTAGTTTAGTCTTCTTCTTCCTCACCAGCTCCACCGGCTCCGCCTTGGTTCTTCTTCATGTTCTTCCTCTTTACACGGCCAGGACGGCCACCACCGAATGGTGATTTAAGTGAGAAATCAATGTGTTTCTGTGAATCTAATCGCACAACGAATGATGGAATGTTCACCACTTGCTTGCGTACACTAAATTAAAAATAAACCTTATTAACGTATGTTTTTTTTATGTGTTATTGGTGAGGCTTTTCAATAAAAGTTCAGTTAATTCTTAATTCAACTTACGATATCAGTTATTGCTTAGTCATTCAAGCATTAATGCCATTGTTTTGAAAGACGTTGAAAGCCGGTACAAATGCACTGCCTCTGAGTGTACTTGTTCGACTTTCAAGTGGTCTTACTGAACATGAAAATTTACATAATTTTGTTGCTATCAAGCAGCCTTCAATTCAATACTCATGATATTTACCGAATATGTCTTTGACGGATCAAAACGCGAGCATGATGGATAGACTTGGCCAAACCCAATTTGAATACTTGAGTTTGAAGACGACGCTCTAAGAAATCTTCAATTTTCAAACCCAACACGTAATCGAGCTTCATACGGGATTCATCCAATACACCAATACGTACCAAACGACGCAACAAAGCGTTACCTTTAAAAAAAATAATACAATTTTAATTAGTTATATTATGTTGTTCGAAATTCGCATCACCACAATTAATTAATTAAAAATTCATTTATAATTCAATTAAAATAGAAAGTATGTTTATTATAGCTACCTTGGAACAATCTCTTTTCATCTTTCTCATCTAAAGTGAGCAATTCACGCGCAGCTTTACGGATTTTGGCCAAAGCATATTTTACACGCCATACTTCACGCTTGTTACGAAGACCATATTCACCAATAGTTTTCAATTCTTGATCCAAACGTGCCTTCTCATAGGGGCGACGAGGAGTTACATATGTTTTTGAGAACACGGATGGTATACGTCCGTTTACCATGTTTACTTTGCTTTAACCGAATTCTGTTGACATAAAAAAAAATTATAGGTTAGAATTTTAATCTCAAAATATTTTAAGCATCAATGATATATAATCACAATATACACATGTTATTTAACAAAAATACGATAAATTATAATTTGAATAAAATATTTTTGATAAAAATTACTTAAAAAAACAACTAATTTTGAATAATCATATAAAACGTACACTCGGTTCGACGACTCAACAACGAAAGAAAGAAATCTAGGCGATATTTGCTGACTTAAATGCGGAATGAACTGAGAAAAATTTTTTCGCCGCTCAAATGTTGCATTGATGTTTACAACCAAATAATACAAGTATTCTTTGCTTACAACTTTATTAGTTAGGCAATGTTAGAGCAATAAGATAAATAAAATTTAAAATTGTGTATTAAAATTGTTATTAGTTTCTTTTAAAAACAAAAAGAATGCTGAAAATTATATATCTGTTTAGTTGAGTATTTAATGAAATTGTTGAATTTCTCTAATGCTATGTTTACACTTAGAATTATTGAACCACTTGAGCATATATTAAAATGGATTTTGTATGTAAAATGTCAGCTAGTGCTGTTTATTTGTCGAGTAAAGTACAATAAGATTTACGGTAGTTATGTGGACGCAATTTCTCAGGTTAAAATTACAATCCGATTCCATATAAAAATCCAACAACCAATATTACGATTGAATTGTAATTTCTACAAAATTCATTGAAATTCAATACGTAATTCTCTAAAGTAAAACTATTATATATGGTGATATTATCAGTTATTCTCATAGTCTAAAGCAATATAAAACAAAATATTATTGTAACATTCGTTGTTTTTATTTACGAGCGCAACCATAAAATAAACAGAAATGAACAACAAAGTTAAAATAATTTTATATTTGCTGTGTGAACATGCGAACCAAACTTACCAAATTACAATTACTTGTGCTAGAGTAAAATAATTTCTTACTTGTCAGTAAGAAATTGTCTGCGACAGATTTTTAAGTCTGATCAAAGGTTTAAAAAAAATCAAAAAGTTTAGATTTTAGTTAAATATGTTTTAAAGTTTAAGAAGTTCAAGTTTGGCAATTTTATTCTTCTCAGTATTTAATAAGTAAATAAATTATATAAAGAAAATTAATGAATATGATATTGATACAATTTTACAATAAAAATTTAAATATCATATCGACACTATATTCATATACATATAAGTGATACTGTTGGGGCAAATAATAAACAATAAAGTGTTTATTATAAAACAGTGCCTTAGATATGATTAATTCTGGTCATACTAATGGAAATTTATATTTTTCAAATCCCTGAAAGTAAATATTCCAAGCATTCATTGAACACGCGCGTCAAGTGCGTAAAACACCACATCGGTTTTGATTTTATGCCTCAGTACCCTGACATATCGATGTTACATTGGTCGCCAACACATTTATTTTTTTATTTTCGATTACAACTTCATAAAGGTAATTTTTTAAACGTTTATAATATAATTGTAATATTAAATTACTTGAATGTTAAGTATTGAAATATTCATACTGCAATATTTTGAAAATATGAATATCTTTCACTCCACTTTCAAAAAACGCGGTCAGTTTATAACGTCAAACAAATTAAACAACATTAAATAAATTAAACAATTAATTAAATAAAAAAAATTATTTAAAAAATAAATAAAATGTTTATTTCTATTAAATAAAATATTTATTTCTATGGTCAAAGATATTAATGTGTCTGTCTTTATATTTAGTCAGTAAGGCATCAGAAATTGATATAGACGAGATTATCTAAATTGAAGAATTGTTTGTGTCATTTATTCGTAATTTTCGGGATACGATCTTCAAGAGCGTACCTAACATTTAATAATAAGAACGTGATATTATGGTCTTTGGGGAGAATACTACCTACCATTTTATTTTAACATTGAAGTTATTCTAAAAGATAGTTCCTTTAACATTTTTGATAATTATTAAACCTTATGATAAATGATTTGTTGAGCAACAAAATGCAAATCTATGCCTGACTTTACTAGTAAAACATAATAACATATAATATTATAAACAAATTATTAAAAAAGAATAACAGGAGATCAATTTTAGTTCCAACATCAAAACTAAAATATGTATTTATCCGTAATTCGCTTTTCTAAACATTATGTAAACAGAACGTCTATTTAAGTAACAGCAGTTAAGGGTAACATTAACATAATTAACGTGAAAACTAAACGACATGAGTAAACTGCAACATTCTTTATATGTTAACAATTAAATTTTATGTATTTATTATATAAAATGCTATATTCTTTATACTTGTAGTAATCTTCTTACACTTAGATAGCTACATTTTTCATAAAGTATTAAACAATATTATTAAATGAAATTTTCTTTAATTGATATACCCTACATGGAATGTTTCTGTTAAATGCATTTCTTAATATTTCATGTAGGCATATTGAACACGTTGGTTTACTCCGTTTCATTTCATGTAGGCAAACAAAATAAATTATTGTTATTATATATAGCAATAATTATTAGACAAAAATTTAAAATTTAGATTTTATTTTTATTTTCTTTTAAAGAAATCGAAAAAAATTTATCTATTAACTTATGAAAGAAAATTCCAGCATGTATGTGAATGTAGGCTTATCTGAAGACATCTTAAAGAAATTTTAGTTTACAATGCATTTTGTTATAATTTATACGCTTTTAAAATAAGTAACTTTTATGAGACATACTTTTTTGTGCTTAAATTTGCTATTAAAAGTTTCTATTTATAATGATAGGTGTAATATTCGTTTTGCAGATTTTTACAATTAATTTAGCCTACATGAAATTGTATTTAACATCCCATGTAGGCGCAGTTTTAAAAGTGAGGTTAAGTTTCCTGTAAATACCGAAACAGAAGAACAAAAGAGATACTGTGATAAGTGCTAGATGAGAATGAAAAGAGAAATAATTTAAAATGGAGATTATTTTATCTCTAATAATGAAGTTTCTTATGACGTTAAAAAAACTTAGTTATTGAATTAAAATGAAATAAGACAACAAAAAATGTTGGTAGGATATTTAAATATAAAAATTTTGAAAAATATGTAACCAAATGAAATTAATTTTAAAAACGTTATAAATAATTTGTATGTATATGTATTAGTTAAATTAGTAAACATTACCAAATCGATTTTGTTAAATCATTTGTGGAACTAATGGGATATGAGAGTAAGGTAATAATTTAAGTAAGGTATTTATAATTATTTTATTTTTTAATAAATATAAAATAATGTAATAATACTTCAAAAAAGAAAAAAACAAAAAAAACGCTGGAAAGATATGCCTATTTACAATATTATTAAAGATACAGCTGTGATAAAAAGGTTTAGCCAAATTGCGGAAGGTATATACATACATAAAAATTTATTAGCGGGCTAATTGGTCGTTTAAATAGAACTCTGATAATCCTGATTAAGGCAAAAGCGAATTTGCCGAAATACGTGTAGAGATACAGAAAAGGAAAGTAAAATATTAAAGAACAAAAACCGACTTTATATTTTATTATTTATATTTAAAAACAAATTATTATTTAATTGAAATATTTCTCGAATATAAAGAAAAAATTATAGATTTTTTATTTCTATTTAAATGACCAATCAGCCCGTTAATAAATTATTATATTATTATAATATTTTTGGTCACAAATAAAAGTGTAAGTTATATACTTTATACTTTAATTTGATGCCTAGTATATCTCTCATCTCTAACGGATTCAAAGATTTTGACACAAAATTTGTGTACTATGAAAGCAAAAAATCAAAGCGTTTTCAACTGAATGGATTTACAGCTAGACTTTTTAGCGCTCTATGGATAATATTAAAAATTGAGCTTATATCCCAACTTATGTACATTTTTTTCTTATGTTGGACCAAGAAAATATTTTTGTTATTAATTCGGAAACATATATATATTATAGGTATATATATATATCTACATATGTTTCCGAATTAATAGGGGATAATAGTGAAAATATTTTCTTGCTCCAAAAAAAGAAAAAAATTTTTACAAAAGTATATTAATATATTAATTATTATTAAGATTAAATAATATAGATTATTGATATATACATACATATATATGTATATTATATGTATATATGTATATATATGTATATATGTTATATGTATAACATATTTATTCATATTAGCAAATTATTAATGTGTGAAAATATTTGTACACGTGAACACGATGATTATTGTTATAATAATCGTATTAATTATCATTATCGTCATTTATTTTCTATTTTGCTTTTAGTTCTAGTTCGCATTTAATCTGGGATGAATACCAACAACAAGTCAGTATGAAAACACAAAGCAGAAGCGAATAATATTTTGTTGTTGTCACCTGCAGTTAACCTCACTTTTTCGAAAAAATTTACATGGAATTTTTCCGTACAAAAAATTCAGCTTCCATATGATATAAAATGCAGTCTAATTAGAAAACATCATTTTATTAATAAGTAATTGAAAATATGTGTTTGAAAGAAAAAAAAGAAAGAAAAAATATTATTGGAATCAAATCAAATTATAATGAATTTATAGAATTTCTGGAAACAACTACCGGAACTGCCAAATAGTAGTTGGCTGGATTTCAACAAGATCGACTACGAACGGAGTATTCATACGGTTGGGTAAGTTATAATTTTAAATGCGCAATTCAAATAAAATACACGTATTTATGTATTCAGTTTGTATAAGAGATATACATGTTTCTTTTATATTAAAATATATTGCATTGCATGCATATTTCATAAGGTGCAGATATCTAAGGTTTGCACCTCATTACTTATGTCTAAATACTTGGCTCAGTTGTTTTGTTTTACTTGTCTCTTTGTGTATTCATTCATCTTAATTAGTTCTAAAACAAATTCGCTTTTCTATTGATTCAGTGGTTATACCTTTTCTGCAATTTCCTTTCATCTTCTCTGTTGTAAATCAAAGCTGATTTTGCTTTAGATAACACAATACATCAATTTGAAAACCATTTGCTTTAAATATCAAAGGAAATTATTTGAAACTCAATTCAAATTGTTGATATAAGAGATTAGAAAAGAAACAACACTTCAAGTAGATTTCAGTTCATTTATTTATTTATAGTAGGAATTCAGATTCTTAACAATATGTTTTTGCATTTAAAAGAAAACTAAAATATAAGTTACGTGTCGACGATGTTCATATATATAAGTATGTGTGTTTAACTATTAGTAGTATTTAATAACAAAATGAAATGAAAATATTTATGGGCTTTATATACATAGTATTCAAAATTAAAACAAATTTTTATAATACAAATAATAATTAACAATGACAACACAGTTAAAAGCATTAAACTTATTTGCGATTTGTGGAAATATGTCTGTAGCTCAGTATTACACTTGTGAAAAATTAAACGATAAAATTTATGTGAAACATTTTAAATGAATTTTAGCAAACGTAAAAAAATACGATCTTAAATTTATAATTATATTAAAATTAAGTTTTATTAATCTAGTTTGCGTATTTTTACTAAACTACTTCGCATTGTGGTACTATGTGGTGGTGATAGTTCATTGTTAGTGTTAGTGTTAACAATTTGCATGCGCCTTTTAACTACAATTTGTCGACCATGTGTTGGTACGACAGCCGTTGTTGTTGGCTTAACTGGAGATTGACTTAGTTCATCGGAGCCTACATCTAAATCACCATCAGCACCACTAGTAAGTTCTTCCTCCTAAAATATTAAAGTTTTTTAACAGTTGTTCGTTTTGTTAAATTGGAATAAATTTTTACCTCTTCCGCTGTTTCATCATCCATCCCGTCTTCTTCAAATTCAATATTATATTCATCATGCGACTCAACAAGCTCACCATTTAATGTGGGAAAAGATATTTCAGGTAAAACAATTTGATGACCTACTCCGTATTTTTCGTTTAAGAGTTGTTGCAGCAGATTAGAGATATCTTCACGTTTTCGTGTTACTGTCAAGGTATCGAACCAATTACACAATTTAATAGGGAGTCTATAATCTGCAACAGGGTCTTTAAAAAATTGCTCGACATACTGTAGCAGAAAAAGTCCACAATCTGTAAAATTGTTTTGCTGTGGCACTTTTACACAGTGGCCAGGCATATTCTCTTTATTGAAAACATGCGGTGTCGCATTGGCCATTTTCAATTTATATTCACATGATAAATAGTCACGTAGTGTAGCTACAACACGACTACGACCCGCACCCGCTAATGAGTCGAATATAAGTATTAACGGTTGTTTAATTGGTTGTTTCTCTGTTATATTGGCAGAAATACTGGGAGGACTTTGCGTTGTATTGACTGACGATGTATTATTTTCTCCACTTTCGAAATCTGAATCGTCAGATGCTAAGTCCTCATCATCGCCTTCTGCTTCATCTCTGTCGCTATCATGATCATCATTTACTCCTACAATATCAGCTAAAAGATTAGGATTGCTATCACGTTTTGATAGTGGAGTAATCGTTGTGTTCCCAATCTGTAAAGCTATTTTCTTTCCTCCTGTAAATGTAAAAATTAAAATTAATATTTTAAATAATTAATTTTTTTAATGGTCAAACATTTTTAATAATAATTTTGTTTTTTAACGGGCTAATTTGGACAGCAGTTAAATAATACACTTAAAAAAACAAAAATGCACCTGATGTTTAAATAAAATTTTTTAAAAAACAAAAACAATTTGCTAAAAATTTGTATTATTTAACTACTTAATATTTTTTGTAATGTGTTTTGTCTATCAAAATTTTTCATTACTTTGTTTCTTGACTTGTTGTAGTTCCACAGGTATATTTGTGTCATATGTAACAGGTCCTTTTAATTTCGGAAAGCATATAATGGCGAGAAACCAGTGAGATTGCTCATTAATAGGTATAATTATGAAGTCCTTCTCGAATAAATTAACATTTTTTGTCCAATTCTGAACACGTGCATGTCGCTTTTGAGCGGCTGTTTGTTTTATATCTTTATCTGCCTGTTGCTGGCTACGTACCAGAGTGGTTAAACGCTTGTAGAAAAACGTACTAAAGATATAAGTTTTTTCGCGCTCTTCTTTTGGTATAATGTTATTGTGAACCCATTTAAGATAGAAATCAATTATTATGTCATTTAAATATTGATCAGTAGCTAGACACATGTAATCTTCAGTGTTTATAGATATTCCACCTTTACCAGATGGATATATAAGTAAAGTTCTTATATCATTCCCGTATAATTGGGGTTTAATATCCCTATAGAAAACATTGAATTAATATATTATTGATTTATCTTAATTAAATAAATTTACTCGTTAGATTTGAGAGCAATTAATTGACGCTCAGAGTCTGCAGCTCTTTCCAATAGGGATTGTACGTCAACTAAACCAATTTCGTCCAATGGGTTACATAACTGTTTCAAAGTATTCAGAGCCTGATCAGATATACTGTCGATATGTAATATTATTTTGCGATATTGGTATGGCCCAGTTGCTATAAAGTAAGTAGCTGTTATAGAAAAATAAAATGATAGTGTATAATGAATAAAGATGGATAAATTGTGAGTATTTCATTTGTAAGGAGACTTACTTCCATCCGCTACCGGTTCATCAGCAATATTCAGAGATGTTTTTATATATTGTGCACATTTTCGTAATGTATAGAAACATAACACAAAAACATCATCAGGCTTGTTGAAGTGCCCAATCAACTTAACTATTTCGTGTTTGTGTATATTTAATATACAAAATTCTTTATCATTGTTAACGAGGGGTGCAGTAATTTGGATACCTTTAGCAGTTATATTAACCTAAAAATTATAAAATTTATTAATAAAGTGGCAATTTAAAGCACTATTAGTTTCACTCACAGGCTCAGCGGTCTCGAAACAATAACCACCGATGCGCACATTTTTACAGTATAACTTAACACATGATTTATCCAGTTCATCGCTCAGTTCCGTAATATCGGTGCGCTTAAAATCTAAAATATAGAAGTAAATAATTGAAAAACAAATATATTTGACTTCCGCAGATTTCACAAAAAGTACATGTCAATCTCTGAGGCACATTGTGCACAAATATCAAGTAATTATAAAATGATTAATAAGTAATTAACACCTTCATTGTTATTACCACCCATATTTTATTTAACAAATTTCTCCTTCTAATTGTGATTTCCTAAATAAAAGTAATACCGCACAAGTTAATTTACAGAATATTGTAAAACTATCAATGTTCTTTCATTTCACTTTATTGACGTTTGTGCTAACATGGCGATTTTTTTTGTTAACAGCGCCACCTGCAGTTTATTTGACATTACTTCGAAAAGGTGTTACCCGATTAAAAATTATTATTGCATATAATAAATACAAGGCACTGTGATTTAATTTAAGAAATATTATCGTAAAAATATTATTTAATATGGAAAACATATTTTATTAAAACAAGTGCAATATTATATGCAATATGTAATATTATACAAATTCATCAGTTGTCAAATTGCTAAAGTCAATATAAAAAACACATAAACACAAATATAAATCGATGATTACTAGTGAGCTATTAAAAGGTCGAATAAATAATTAGCACCAGTTTTTAGCGAATAAGGAATTTTAATTCCCGAAATTAATTCACGTAGTTGTGAACGGTTCGCAGCAAAAGCGATTTTATAATTTTTTCTTAAGGAATAACTTAACGAAAATTTTTGATTTATGAAAATAAATAAATACCGAAATGTCGCTTATTGTTTTGTTTACATCCATATTAAAAACACATATTCAATATGTAATTATAAAGTATTAAAAATGAAATAGGTAATAAAATGCGATATTTACCGGTATATATTGCAGTTTCATCACTTTCTGAAATAATAGGTTCAAAAGATAACGGCTGAGAATATGTTATCATTTTGGAATTATTCAATGATGAGCCAATCTATTAGAAAATATCTCGTTAATAAATATTGCAATTATTGAAAATATTTAATGTACTTACATTCTTATTGGAAGTGTTTGACGGTTCGTCGTCCGCTTCTTCATCGCTACTCAGAGTTAAAATTACAGGCTCGGCATCAACTGCTTTGCGGCTAGTTCTCGATGAGCGTCCCCGTTGACCCCCGCGACCACGTGTTGAATTGCTAAATGGCAAGTAATTTTTTCCACGAGAACTGTTTTCACTTCCTCGCTTTTTCTCTGTTATGTCATTGGGATTTTTTATGTGTGACGAATCACTACTACTTGTGCTTGATTTAAAGGGCACGCGCTTCGGTGGTTCCAAGAAAACTCGTTTGCAGCGCTCACACTTGGCGTGGTCAACACCACTAAATCCACAACTTTGACATATCGCAAAGAAGCCTTGTATTATTTTACGAGGAATTTCTTCTGAACTCGTTTTTGTTGAGCTTGATGGAGATGCTGAGTTTGTAGAGTCTTTAGTGGAATCGTCAGCAATAGCAGCAGCTGCCACAGCTCGTGCCAATGAATTGTGAAAGTTTGATGTTGTAGAAGTTGTGGCATTATTTGTAGTGGCACAAGCGTTATTAGTGGCGTTTGCAATAGCAACGGCTTCTTGTTGTCTGCTTAACTGTAAACTTTGCTCAGCTCTAGAGATTAGCTCACTTGCAGACTCCTGAACGGAAAATCCAACAGTAACAACAAAATCTATATTGGCTCCAGGATTTTCTACACATTGAATCGTTGTGTTGTTATCGAATGATACACCAACCTGCTCCAAAAGATCTTGTACTGTACATGATTCTCGTGGCAATGTAAAAGTTATAAGACGTTGTTCTCCTGATACTAAAATGACAAGCATCTTTGCGCTATTTCTGTCCTTCTCACCCATTTGATGGCTACTTCGATTTTGTAAAACATGATGCGTTTGAATTTCATAATTATTATGAGCAGTTTGATGTACTGAAGATCCTGTTACAATAGGCGTTTCCGGCTCTGGTTGTGGATTTGACATTCTTTGGGGTGCTACACGTGCTATTGGCACCAATGGCAGCATTTGCCCTGTACCAGTTAATGAGATTTTGTTTGTGCCAGTATTAATTTGTGGTCTTACTGTCATTATTGTTTTTGTTGTATTTATGGAACCTGTGGTATTAACACTAAGGTTGCGCTTTTTAAATTCTGTTAATGATATGCTTTGACCATTTTGAGAACGAGCAATACGATTATCATCATCTTCCTTGTAATATGAGGTAAGGGTTGTACTCATTGCACTTGGAATAACTTTCTGTTGGTCTTTCTTTACAATAACAGCTTGAATACTATCTTCAAGATCAAGTTCACCACTACTGCCGCCATTAGGCGATGTGGATGGTTGATGTTGAGATTGACCAACATCTGTTGGACAACGATAGCGAGGATTACCAATAGATGATATCCGTTGTGTAGATATCAATTGTAAATGTGGATGTGGAACACCAGATGAATCAACAATTTGTTGACGATAAATTTGTTTCATTTGAGTTTGATTTACATTAGCAATTGTTATTTTGTTTTGCATTATTTGTGGCGTTTGCGTTTGCATTGCAGTGCCTGGAATTGTGTTTGCTAATGCAATCGTATTGTTTCTACTGCCACGACCACGACCACCACCCCTACCCCGTGTACTTCCTGATCCACTATTACGCGAGCGTGGCGATTTTGTTGCCTGGGATGCGGCACCTTGCGTCGGTGCGGACGCTCGTATACCACCACGTGTCGATATTCCAGTAATACGTGCTGATACACTTGGCGATCCAGCGCCTCGCATTGATTTGCCACGTATGGCACCTCGAACTGCCGTTACCATTTGTGTTGTCACAATTTGCTGTTGTTGTGGTTGAGGTATAGGTGATTTTTGAATTTGGTTGCTAGATAATGGCTGCATATGTTGATATATAACACCAGACTGCATTTGTTGCTGTTGTTGAGGTTGCGCAGATTGCGCTGGAATTTGGGTTGTTACTCTTGTTTGTACAAGACGAGTTTGTTGCTGCAGTGGATTTGCTTGTAATTGTAAATGAGGTTGTTGATTCGGTTGTTGTAGTATTGTTTGGGATTGAGCTTGTGCTGGCGAGGAGTAAACAACTCGATTTGTGGTATTATAAGTTATCCTTTGCTGTGGTATAGTATGGCGTAGTATGATTTCCTGATTATGTGGTGATTGTATTAATGGTTGTACGATAACATGTGTGTTATTTAACATCTAAAATTAATAATAAAAATACAAATGAAGTATGTTTTTAAAGAATATAAATTACAACTTATACCTGAGTTTGTTGTGGGAGTTGCTGTTGCTGCGCTGGCATGCGATATACGACTTGCTGCGTCTGTGGTTGTACTTGCTGATGTGTTGAATTTTGTTGTAAAGACTGTTGATGATGAACTATCTGTTGTTGTTGCTGATATTGTTGATGGACTTGCTGCTGTTGCGGCTGCTGTTGGGAAATATGCAACTGTTGTGTTATGTTTTGTTGTTGTTGTTGTTGAGAATGTGGCGAATGATGCACAATTGAGTTCTGTTGCAATATTTGATCAGAGTTGTAATATAATTGCTGCGTGGGTGATTGTTGATTTTGTTGCTGTTGAGTGTGTTGCATTTGAAGCTCTGGCTGAACTTGCTCTTGAGGTTGTGGTTGCTCCTGTTGATAATGCGTCTTTGTCTGTTGCTGCTGATGTATCATAATTTGTTGATGAGGTGCGTGTTGTTGTTGTTGTTGATTAACATCATCACTTAGGATATATCGCGTTGTTAACTGTTGCTGATACTGTGCATTATTTGTATTTGGTTGTTGGTAAACTACTTGGCCTTCATTGTATAGGATTTGATCATCTTGTAGGACCAATTGCTGAACAAATCAATTTGTTACAATAATAAAATAAAAATACAAACATAAAGCAATTAAAAAAAATCAAGAAAAGAGAAATATACAATTATATCAAACACAGATTCGAAGATTTCATATATTATATAACAAAATTTTAATTCTTTAATAAAATCTATGAACCTGCGGCCGATTGTGTTTACTAACAGCATTGTCATCTACGTGTACTACTTGCACATCCGGATATATTTGTTTTAGATCATCCATTTGTATGTAATATTGGGCCATTTCTAGACGAAAAAAATATCGGTTTCATTATGGCGTTAAATTTTGATATAACATTAAATAAATTAATTCCAACCAAAATTAAATTTATAATAAATAAACTTATATTAAAACTAAACTTATATAAAACTTATATTTCAGTTGAGAAAAATAATTTTAATATACCTATTTATTTAATTTAAATAAATTGGTTATAACCATGCATGTATGTAACATACATACATACTTGGTGGCATTGTTCGTGCAACGCAAAAACATATATTGAATATTTTAATAATCAAAATATTAAAACTGTATAGCACTAAAAAATTATTATTTTATTTTGTAATATTATATATATAAATAATAAATTATGACTAGAGATTAAAAATGATTAGTTCAATAGCATTACTGAAATTGTTTTTCACGACAAAAAAAAATTGCAATTCGTCTGTATTGGTATGGCTACCAATTGCAGTATATTAGTTTTTTTACATGATATTTATTTCTTGAAAATATAGACGTTAACTTAAAAATTATTTAAAATTGTATCAAAGATGATTTATTAACCTTTTATTCCTGCGATGATATTGACCACTGAAATTCTTTTTCGTAAAATTACTTATTCAAGGGCGCAGGCCGGAACGACCAACAACGATTGAGTTGGTTGAAAATTTTCACACTAACGTATATAAAGCATACTTTTCTCCAAAATAAATTTATTATTTAGTTTATTAATATCAAAACATATATTACAAATTTCACTGTATATATTTAACCATTTTGATGTGAAAAAATTTATCCATTAAAATATGCTCAATGGTCTATTAACATTTGTCAGAGTCGCTTTATATCGAAAAAATACAACATGGCGTACAATATCGACAATTTGACACTTGTTTGTATAATCATATCGAAAGTACTTTTTATCAAAATTTTTGCGTAAGAGCGCCATCTGTGAATTATAACTAAAAATTTTTTTGTCTTTTAGTTTGTATGACTTTTCTCCGTTTCTCTGTTTGTTCCGAATGCGAAAATATGGTACCACTTTTTATGTTTTTTTTAACTCCATTATTTTAGTAGTCCCTCTATATTATTTGGAAGTTCTTGCACTTTGTTTTTTTAATAAACTTAAAAATCTTGAATACTTTTATTTTGTTATATTCTTCAAAACATATGTTTTCTATATTATTAAATTTTCACAAATGCACAAATTAATTTTATTTATTTATATATGAAAATGCTATAATTTTAGCGGATGTTGATATAAGCACTTGTGTTTGTTTCTGCGTCTTATACAGTTTGATAAAACTGAATGACATTGTTTTGACGTTTGCATACGTATATCGTGGCGTCATCTGGTGATAGATTAATATATTAATGAACGTATAAATTGTCATAATATAATTAATTGATTATTATATGGAATTTATATATTATTATTAATGGTGGATAAAATTTAATTCAGGTAGTTAGCTTGTACACACACAAGTGCTCTAAAAAGCTATCTATGGCGTGGAAAAGATCGTTTACTTAACATTGTTCACATATATGATATATAGTGCAATTTGTTATGCATTTATTAAATTTTTTTATTTAAAGAAGAACTTCTAAAATTTCGTATTTATCTTTATTGCTTTCCATCATTCTTAACAAGAAAAAAATATTAACAGTAATTACAAAAACACTTATTCTTTTTTTTTATCATCAATAGCCGTAATTTTATCTTTTAGAATAGCAAAAAAATGCTAGTAACTTATGAAAGGAAACGTGAAACAACAACGATGCTCTTAAAATCTTCAGATTTGCTATGACCTTTAAAAAAAAAACCAAGTAAATATAATAAATGAATACAATTATTCGGATGCCAGGGGTCAGGTCGAAAAATAAATCAAGATAATATATATATTTCTATATTGAATTAAAATTCAAAATTTTATAATTTAATTTTTTATTTTTTCGTGATTTAGAATACAGAAAAATATTTTCATAATATAGAGAGAATATCATGTGTAGAATTAAGCATTTAAAATTTTATAGTATTTAATAGTGAACATCTTATATTTTAGGTATTTAACAAATATGCTCAATTTTCGGAAAGAGTGCTTAATGATTAGACTCAGAATATTTTAGTTATTTCACTATATACATTTAAATTATATGGTCTCGCATAAGATGTCCGTACGACGAATTCTGTCGATTGTACATATGGTCAGGTTGGGGATATTCAACCTTTCAACGAAAATATTTTCTGCTGGTGGCATTTTATCTTTAAGCAAATCTACAAGCCTGAAAAATATTTGTCGATTCATTCGAAAATCAGCAATCCACTGTTCAACATCATAGAACTACAGAACTTCAACATCCCACCACTCCGAACTTCTCTTCCTTTTGGTAAAAGTTCTTATTCGCGGTGGAAGCTTAAAACAAAAATGCATTCTAAATATTTTATGAAAAACTTTATAAAAACACTTACATTCATTAAAGCCTCATTAGCGGAACGTATTGCCATTTTATTAAAGAGCTGCAATCGCATTTCTCGTAATTTTGTAAATTTTCTACGAGATGTTGCTACATTATTATTTTCTACAATTCTGGTTATAATATTTTTTTTTGCAATAAAAGTAAAACAGTTTGTAGTTTTACTCTATTCATTTTAAAAATGTTTAAAATCAACATTTCTGTTTACTGTTAAACAGCTGATTGATTGACAGCTACCTTAAAACTGCTTTTAATTCTTGTGCGTAAACGCTCTAAGAACAAATTTTAAAATCAGTTTTAAAAGTGATTTTAAGACTCGCGTAAACGTAGTGAATTTGATTTACTTAATAAATTATATATTTATATTCATGCTGTAAATTTTACTTCTTAGAAAAAACTGCTGGAATCTGATCAACAATGATATCTACCAATAATTTTAATAAGATTCATACATTTAAATTTTAATCTTTATTGGTTTTAACACGATTTGTGTAAAAATAATTTGATTGTAATGCAAAGAAAGTGAATGAAGTTAGAAAAGAAACTGATAATGTTTTAACTAATTTTATTAATTATGAAAATTTTTTCTCTTATTGGCAATGCTGCCTTTGTATTTACATTAATCAGCTTGATTATGATTTAATATTTCCAAATGAGTCACTTTGTCTAAAATTCTTCGACATTATTCATATATTTGCTTATATTTATATTATATTGTTTAATTAATTAATTGAAAAAATGTTTTCGAGCGGTCCAAATTATACTAAATTAAAAACAAATCTTCGTTTGGCCACAAGTCGCTTAAAGCTCCTGGAAAAGAAAAAATCAGAACTGGCCCAAAAGTCACGAAAGGAAATTGGAGATTTTTTGTCCAACGGTAAAACTGAACGTGCCCGTATACGTGTGGAACACATAATACGGTAATAAGCAGCTTGATTAGTCATAATAATTTTTATTAATATTTAATTCTATGATTAATTCTATTTTAGCGAGGATTACTTAGTTGAAGCAATGGAAATTGTGGAAATGTACTGTGACATGCTCTTGGCTCGTTTTGGTCTAGTGACGCAGATGAAAGAACTTGACGATGGTATTGCTGAAGCAGTTTCTAGTTTAGTTTGGGTGTGTCCACGTTTGCAAAGTGATGTTACAGAGCTTAAAATAATATCTGACATATTTATAAGCAAGTATGGACCGCAGTTCGCAGAAGCTGCGCGAACTGCTACAGGAAATCACCAAGTATCAGAGAAATTAATGCATAAGCTGCAGCTGCAAGCACCGCCCAAACTATTGGTGGAAAAATATTTAATTGAAATCGCTCGAAATTATAATATTGAATATGAGCCAGATCCACAAGTTATGAAAGACGAAGGCAAAGATGGTAAGTGCATGCTGCTGATTCATTTTATTGAATATAATAACAAGTCTCTAATAAAATAAGTGTGTGCAGAGGAGACTTCTGGAAAAATAATTTATATAAATACATTTAAATGAAAAAAATCCATTGTATTTAATGTGAAATATTCCGAAGTATTTGAAAGGGGTTTGTATCCCAAACCTCCCCCTCTTGTATGCGGAACTGATAGAAACTTCTTAATATGAAATATATTGATCTTATTACTTTTTTACAGGTCAACAAGCTTATTTAATTGATTTATCGGACAAAAATAATCTAGGTGGTGCTAGTGGTCCGCCGCCTCAAATGGGCTTCATTGGATACCCTGCTGTACCTCCATTACCAGTAATGCCCGATCCACCAGCTACTAAGCCTTTTAACTATCCTCCACCGTACGGAGGTGGTGGAGGTGGGGGTGCAGCAGGTTTCATTCCTACAAATGCTAATACTCCACCATTTTCATACAACATACCACCAAATGTTCCGCAATCAATGCCGCCAACGAACGAAAAGAAGGACTTAAACACAAATTTCATTGATGTATGTTTATAAATTGAATATTTTTAATTATTTTATAAAGCCATAATTTTTTTTTGAACGTAAAAATATTTATGTCTTTTATCTATGCATGCTTTTGCACCTAACCCCTTTGTAGAAGGAATCTAATAATTTATCCACACCAACTGTAACGAATGATGACAGTCCAGATGAAAATATTTTGGTAGGTTAAACGTAGATTTTTAATTGTTTGTGTAGTCACTAATATATGTTTAATCTATTCGTGTGTGTTACTTTAATTCATTTTGGTGCAATAATGTGTGGACATGGAGTAAGTGAAAACTATTTTGACTAACATTTGTTTTTTCAAGGGCTTTTAACCAAGTACATAAATTATATTTTTTATTTATATTTGGGTTATTAATGCGGTTTATATATGGTTTAATAATTTTTATGTTCGGTTATGTTTTCGTTTGAAAAGTTTCTAATAAGTATTTTGTTTTTGTTTTGCATAACAGCGAGCTAAAGCACACAATGATCCTCCACCCCGGTATTCATCAATTAATCCTTATAATTTGCAAGTAGGTTTTTTTGGTTTTGCTTGCTTTTCATTTGAAGTGAAAATTTACGTCAATATTGAAATAAATTTGATAATTTTATTTGCAGAACACAAATAAACCTAAACCACAGCCACGTTCAAAACTACCTCCAGCAACACCTAGTGCTCCGCCACACCTCCCAGATATTCCGAATCTTCCGAATGTCCCAAATGATTTGCCAGACATTCCTTGCGATAATGAAAAACCAGAAAATGATGACATCGATTTTGATGACTTGTCGCGACGCTTTGAAAATTTGAAGAAGAAGAAGTAAACGAAGAATTCCTAAATATTTGTTATAATCATATTATGTATATTTATTCATTGGTTACAAATTATCTACAAATGTAAAGTTGTGTTAACTTACTGTGCAAATTAATCATATGTATAAACATATATTATAAAAATAATCAATAAAAAGAAATATATAATTAAAACAATTCCTCACTATCTACAACTTCTTTTAATTCGAGCAGTTCCAAGCGTCCTTTGCCTTTTGTTTCGTTACGTAGTGTCTCATCAATTACTCGATAATTCCCAGGATCTATTAATAACGTCATGTGCAAGGTTGCTTCTTCCCATTCTTCATGTTCAACAGTTGTTGCAAGTTTTGTAATAGTTTCCTTAAATTTTGAGCCGGTTTCTTTGGCATTGAAAGAAACACGCACCTTCATGCGCGAGCGCTCAATTGGCATATGCTCGCGCAACAATTTAATAGCATCTAAAGTCTGTTGTTTTGTGTTTTTATTAGTTTTAACCGAGAAGTGTGCATCGCGTAGTGATTTCTCAATTATTGTAGCTGGGTAGGGACGTCGAGTTTCTGGATTAACACAGAGTGCTGCTACGCTATTAACAATGCTATTAAGTTGAGTATCTAACACAGATTGACGTTCCTTTTCAGACACTTGTAGTTCTCCTTTGGCTAGGATTTCCTTACATATTTCAGTCTCATCGCATTTGCCAAAAGCTTTCAACAGTTCCTCCTTTTTGGCAGCCTGGCCCTTTGAAACGTTTGTAAAGACTGTGTGTGTTTGTAGCACTTCATCGATGTCTTTCTCGCTGAAAAAAAACTTTTGAATTACTTTATTAAAATGTTATAATTTATAAACTTACGTATTACTTCGCCAAGAAAGCACTTTATTTTTGTAGCACGCAATTTCGAAACGTTTCCCAGCCTTTTTAAGACGCACCACAGCTACATTTGTGAGTCGAATTTGATTTACAGGAGTAAATATTTTAGACATTATGTACTTCTAGAAAAAATTATCATTAATTGCTAATACTAATGAAATTCAGAAGTTAAAAGCGAAACCTTTCAGTTTTTATTTTAGTCAAGTTTGACGGCACTGCCAAATCAAATTTTTTACTAGATTTTAATATTTATGGAAACGTAATTGTTTTGTTCGTTCATGTGGTTTATACTACGGCATTTATATGGCGTTTACACTGGGCGCAAATGATTCATTTTAAATCAGTCATTTGAAAGTGTTTACAATCGTTGTTACTCTTTTGTTCTCATTTCAAAGAGCTGATTTGTCAACGTGTCTGTTGATTTGATTTTTGGCCTGTATCAAAAAATATTGGATGAAGGTAGAATATACTTTAAAATTTTACAATATAAACTGAAAACTTATATTTTGCTTCGATTAAGTACTTTTTGGAAAGTAGTAGTTCCACCAAATATTTGTTTATCTTTTTTGCGAATATGTCAAAAAGAGCTTTCGCGAACTGTCAAAATGCCATGAAAACTTTTATTTAGGGAATGTTCAATGTATTCATTTGCATTTGGAACTCATTTGAAACTCGTTGGAACTTGTTTATATAAAATGAGACCCATTGCGCGAGCGTGGATCTCATTTGCGCCCATTAGATTTTGTATGCAGAAATCAGTTATTTGCTTCTCATTTTGACCCAAATTAGTCATTTGAGGCCAGTGTAAACGTCATTTTAGTTTCCTTTATCAGCGCTCATTTAAATTGTTATAGTACCATTAAAATTAATGGTAGATTAAAAGGATGAAAAGTATTTAGCTTAAATTTACAGTTTTTTTCGCTATGCTTCGAATGTATTTTTATTTGCATAAAAATAGAAACTTAGTTAACAGGAACAGCTGATTGCTTATTTAAAATCTAAGAATAGTTCAGTTGCTCAAGTTTAAGAGGGTTACCGTTTATATGCATGTTAAATAAAATGCTTGTATATATATCAATAGTTTAGAAGAATATAAGTACTTATTAAACGTTTATAATTAAGAAAAGTATAAGTAAGATTTTTTGGGATTTTTTGATTGAAATGGTAAGCCGTTATTCAGTACTGCAATCGTTAAAATTGCAATAAATTATTTCCCAGAAATGCTTTAAAACATCAAAAGCTTTGAAAAGAAGAAAACTATAAGAATGTAATATAATTAAATTTTCATGATATGAAAGAATTAATTTAAGTTTCAATTAATTTTAATAAAACTTAATAAATTAAAAAATAATATCAGTTGATTAGCCGTTCAGTGCGTTCATACCTACATGTATATGAAAATCCAGTTATATTATTAGCAATTAATAGCAGAATAAGAAAATATGGAAAGACACGATTCGATTCTACTTTACATAGACACACACATGGATTGACCGTTGAAAATAATTTGCGGTTAGTAGATAGGCGAGGTAAAGAACATCGAGCAGCTCTAGAGTATTATTAAGTACGTTAAGTACGTAAAATTAAGTAAAATTTTATTTATTAACATCTAAATTTCTAACAACTTTTATTGTTATTAATGCATCCCATGTTGTTTTTGTGTTGTGTTGAATGTATACATGTATATATACATATATGTATGCGTTGGTAATATTCATTAAGAGCTATATTTTTTAATATTAATTGATTTATTAAACATTAATAAAAATTAATTTGGTGGTCTGTTAGAGCAAAACGTTATTTTGAAAATATTCAAAAAAAACAGAAAATGCTTAATATTTTTTAAATTATCTATAGAGTCTACTTTTAAGACTCTCCTTAGGTTAGGTTAGGTTAGGTTCTACAGGCGTTCTCTAGTTGATCCACTTAGGCCTATTGACCCATTGTGTTGCCATATATATAGGAAAAACTCAGGGTTTAAAATTACCTTTGGCGAATGGTATTTAGTGTCAGGTCTTGTAAGATGGTCAAGATCCTCAAGAAAGGGATTTCCTAAAGTATTGAGTCGCCGAATCTTCTAGCATGGTTTCCTAATTTACAGTGACCTGTACAGAACTTTTCTTAATACCTCAAATCCTTTTCAGTTCAAATAACTCTAAAGGGCATAAAGAACGTATTGTACGAAAACATTTATAAATTATCTTTTTGGAATTTGGTTTCTATTTTACTATAGGTTTTCATAATTATAATAACGTATAAAATAACAATTTAGACATTTAATGGAATTTAGCAATTAAAGTTCCTTTAAAATTGTAAAATATCTTACAATTATGTTGGGATCTATTAATTTTATAAATCGAAATTGCCTTGTTTTTAGACAATAAGCTATAAAATACATAGATTCTCAACATAACAGAAAGATATTTCCAAAACATTAATAAAAATAAATTTTTCTTAAAGTTGTAATGTGTATTTTTGAAATAAATTTATCACACTCCGGGTGGACATCCTTCAGATTCCTCAAATCCGGATGATTCCTTGCAACTTTCACTTAAGTCTGGTCCAGGAGTCACATCACATGTTACATAGTCTTCGCATTCTTCACCTGATTTGCATACAGACTCAGGGCCTTCTTCGCAATAATCTGCATAAACACAGGCACGGTGCTTGATAATTTCTTGTATTATAGCAGTTAAAATTTCGCGAGAATCAACGATTTGGCCAACTTCTTCTGCAACTTCTTTTGTTAACCATGGACATATTGAGTTCATAAGTTGTTCTTTTTTAATAGCATCAGTGGCTGGTTCCAAATTTTCCAATACTTCTGGCAATATGCCTGCAATATGTCCTTGCAGTAGTTTGGCAGCAGTAACACCTTTTTGGACTTCATTCTCCATTTCTTTAGCCAATTTCTCTTGTCGCAAGCGTCTTTCTTTTTCAGCTTGTAAACGCATTTCTTGAGCCTCAAGACGTCGTAATTCTGCTAACTCAGCTTCACGTTTCGCAAGGTATCTGTAAAAATAGATTTTTGGATATACATATTTTTGAATAAGATTTGATGAGAATTAATTGAGTCTTACTCTTCTTGCTTTTTACGCATTGCTTCCAGCTCTTGTTCATGAGCAACCTCCAACATACTTTGTTCTATACAGGAATCCACCAATATTTCAATAATGGGTTGAGCTTCAGCATCGAAATGGAATAGTTCTCCATCGCCAATTTCTGTTGCAGCGTCTATTCCAACTTTTGTGGGCCTGTATGGTGGCTCGAGTGGTTTTTCCAAAAACAAGTCTGTTTGAGTTTGAATCGACATCTCTACCGGGCGTGTAAACAGTTCCTCTAAATATTTTTCAGTTTGTATAACTTCATGTTTTCGGCCTTTAACAGGTGGAGGTGTACCGATTACACCTCTAGGTTTTCGATTTATAACAGAAGTTATTAATTTACGCCGACGTAGGTTAGCAGGTTTATCAAAGGGATCAATATCTTCCTGCAAACGATAAGCAGTTGTAATTAAGCAATTGTAATAAAATAAAAAAAGGGGTTAAAGGGAGGCACAATGAATAATTAAGATAAAATAAATTTATTGAAAAACTCACACTATTTCAGGTTTAAGAATAAACCATAGTTTCATATTTATAAAAAATAAAATGAAATCTAATACTTTGCAGGGGCTCATGTTATACATAAGGTATCAAAATGACGTAACTATGAGAAGTTAGACATATAAGACGGGTCTACATACCATAGACTCTCGTCATCGAGATTTTTTCAAGAAGTTGGGAAATATATGTGCCACAATAATAAAAACCACACCAACATTTGATTGATCGTTTAATAAGTTTAGATCAATAGAATGGATTAAAATTAACTAGAAGATGTTATAACTTTCATGCTATCCTCCAATAGTATGGATTGGAATTAACTAGAAGACATTTGTAGAACCCATTAGGTAATAAGTTAAAAAAATATTTAAAATAATAAAGGCTACTCGGTGTGAGAGTATAAAGTTATTTGAAAATCATTTCAAAATTATATATTTCAAATTTTTTATATCTGTACATATAAAACTTTTAATAATTCAGATATATCAATTGAGTTCTTGCAAATGGTTATAAAACCATTCAATACTGTCTGACACATTCTGATATGGTTTAAAACAACTGATCTCTCAACTATGGGATGGTGAAAGTTTCATTCTAGGTTAATAGACGTGCAATATATCGCATGACTCCAATATAATTTATTAGTAGGTAAGCTTAACTCTCTTCCATATTCAACTAGAGACCTCCACAGGACATTCACAAGAAACCAATCAGTCTATTTAAAATTTAATAAGTATTAATTACCATTTATGGTTATTGAGGGGTAAATTTTATATCAGGACTTAAGAGTTCCTATAAGGTAATAAATGGCAAAATAACTCTGTATGCCTAAAGAATGTCTTCTCTTTAATTATTGCTTTATGAATTATAGTTATAAGTTGAACAAAGTGAACGGAGTAGTATTCACAATATTCGAAGAATCAATTGAATTATTATAACTGATTATATACGAAAAAGAGTGGGAGTAATAGGCAGGACTACATGCTGATCGACAGTTCCGACAAAATGTGCGATACTACTGGGATTAATATGAATTAATATATAATAGCATTCTCGACGCGATAAGGTGAAGGTTTTCTGATTATTTACGCTAATATACGCTCGGAGAAAGTATTTCTCAAAGGTAATAATTTACTTTGATTAAAAAAAAAACATATATATAGTAACAAGATTTTAAAGAGCGAAGCTAATGTGTCAAAAATAAATTCAGTACTTACCATAAGAGCTTGAGCAAAATTACTTCCCCTACACACGCGTTTATCGACCATAACATTCTTAAAGGGCTCGCAAGGCGGTGGTACTTCCCTGAAATTGAATAAAAATCGAAATAGAATTTTATATATATGCGCACATGTATTAATGTATGTATGTACTCTTAAATGTGTTCACAAATGTTTTGTTTTTCAAAAAGTCGAATCTTTAAATTGTTGCATCAAGTCAGAGGTCAATGCCTTTCAGTTGTTCATTCGAACTTCATAAATACTGAATACTTTTCTTTTAGAGACTTTTAGGCTCTAGAATGGATGATTTGCAATAAAATAGTGCATTTCACGTGCGATAAGGATACTAAATTTGCATAAAATTGATTGAAGTAACAAAGGATTACACAGATTTGTTTTTGTTCCGCAGTGCAAACATTGGTGGAAACACAAATGTACTATTAGACTTACTAACATTGGTTGTAGTACGAAGAAGAAGAAGAAGAAGAAGCACTGTAGGTAAGACTCACAATTAGACTTGGATAATTCTGTTGAATATTGAATTTTCCTTTACCTGAAGACGTAAAAACCTAAGTAGCAGCTACTTAGGGAATGTTCGTTATTGACAGTAGCGCAGCGAAGAAGGAATTCTGTCTTCTTGGGGTATAAGACACTGAAATAGAAACAAAGGCATGTATATCTAATTTAGCACCCTACTTTGTTCGTCTCTGTTAGTTTCTGTTAGTTGGAAGTTCTGAACTCTTTGTTGTTTTGCATGTGAAAACTTATAATGCGCAAATGATATTAAACGGAAAAACTGAAGTCCGAACAACCTGAACTCGTGACCTATGCAAATTTGGATTGTTTGTGTTTTATTTTCTTTTAATTTTTTGTTAAGTATTGCATTTAAAAGCACTTAAGTAGCGCAAAGACAGGAAGTTACATTGAAGTTCTTAAGGAAATAAACTACAAAACTCGAGAACCAAAAAAAAAAATGAATAAAATAAATGCAACAAATTTGTGTGGTTTTCAGAATGCGCAAAAGTTTACAGGGTCCTTTACAGTTTTTGTTTGCTACGAGTATGAACTTTTTTACGTTCTATGTCACTCCTACCTCTAACAAGCTTGTAAATGTGCCCATATGTGAATTTGGGTTACATAAAAAATTTAATAACCCTAGACCTACCCCACTTTTGTGCTCGTTTCATATTTGTCGTATTTGCATGTGGAATAACGTTTAATAGATGTCATTTACCATTGTCTCTGCATGGTCGCCTTTCAGTGTTACGAATTCAGATATCAACTTTTAGAACAACGGCAATCAATGGATTTCATTTGAAAATATTTATCGCTGTTCATAATAAGGCATAGCATGACCAACCAATTGAGGCCAACCTATGCTCTGTCCATTCAGTTATTTTATTGAATATTTTACTGTACCTCTAATGATATCACAAACATATGTTATGTTTGTGTGAATGTACATATGTACGTAAGTGTAATCGTTACATGACAACCGATTAAATTATGGACTAAAATAAATTTTTAATTATTGTCTCATGCATTTTAAATTCATTGCAATGGAAACAATTGTTTTAAAATATTTGGTCCCCTTATTGAACATCTAACACAAGTCTAAAAATTGAAACAAACCGGGAACTCTGCAACAATTAAAAATCGGTAAGGTCGCAGGAGTGAATATTATATATTAATATTGCCCATTAATATTAACAAACCAAATGTCTACACCTTCGCAGCCTTTCACCTCTGATATCCCATGCTTAGAGGTTGATATCCTCAGAGCTAAAACCTACGCTTACAAAAAAAGGCCAAATTACAAAACCAATCGTCGAAAATATCGATGATGAAGTTTCAGTTTAAGCATTATAAATCGAATACTATAACTTGTTGATTGGAAGATTGTATACAGCACAAACAAAATTTTCGTGAAACTAATCTAGCATCGGCCATATAAGCAGTGAAAGCAACACATAACGTTGCTCTTTTCGATTTTGTGAAAGCGTTTATTGCTGTCGAACACAATGCCATCTGGATAGGTCTAGAGGTAGACAGAAGCTCATCAAATCTGAGTTTAAAATTTGTATTTCTTTTATATGTACTGGTCAACTAAAAAAGCTCTTTAAAAGCCAAACCGGTGTTAGGGTTGTATTTTCTCTTTGCTATAATTTGGCGACCCAATTAATATTGGAGTTTTCTTCTTCTCAGTCAATAAAACACTACTATCGAGAATCAATCCATATTAGGCAGACTTAGATTAGACTTACATCTCGTCGTACTTATAATTGGATAATTAATAATTAAATAGAATGATTGTGAAACCGTAGCAACTAACATCGATTTATATATAAATGCAGATCAAACTAAAGGAATAGCAGTAAAACACTTAAGACCACCGATGTTCTAACTGAGAAAGCCAGTACATTTTGCTAAGTGTGAAATAATACTCTACCAACAATTCTGCTGATAACTACACAAAAAGCAGAATCTAAAACTTTTGTGACGCCCTTATCCGGGAAGTTCGTGTAATAAATGAAATCTGAAGAAACCTAAATAAGGATTCATATATAAAACACGTGCAAAAAATTCATGCTGCTGTATGAGTTGGAAATATAGCTGAGCAACCACACTATTAAACGCGAAACGCAGAGCTTTACCATACAGTACTCATGCAATACTTTGGACATATGGTGACCCAAGACTTTTTTGTAGAATTGTACGAAAAATAATGCAAATGGCAGCTGGGTTATCTTCGTGTTTTATTTGCTTTAAATTTTTTGTAAAACTATAGCAATAGCTTTAAGGATCAAAATTATATGTATATAAAATAAACAAAAACTTTTTCAACCCGCAACTCTCTTTTTTTTCTGTTGATATGTTAATCTATACTATTGGTCTTGGGTAGATCGATCGGAGACCATTGCCGTATATGCCATTTTTTACTCTACAAAAGTGCAAAAACTGACAACCTTATAGTGAAGGTTAAGAGATTATTATAAAATCAAGATAACACTGATTTAAAGGAATCATTAAAGGGAACAACGAATAGTGTGTCAAAAGAAGAAATTAGACGATCAAAATTCGGTATTGTCTGAACTAGAAGAGATACTGAAATTAAATTTTTTTTTGCCCTTTCTTTTGATGCATTTTGAGTCCAATCGGCTTACGGGAACCACTCCAAATTTGGGGCCAAACATTGTCAACTTCAAGAACTGACTGAACTTAATGTGTGACAACTTCATTATGTTGAAGTAGACTACTTCTAAGACCATTAAAACTATTCTCTTAGTTTTTGCGATATTTCAATGAGATTTTTTAAATAGACTTTTTAGAAGCGGATCATTTGATCATTTGTCCGATTGATCGAAATCATACCACTATTCCTATTGGTCCTATATAAACTGAGCACTAGGATATGAGTTTTATCCGTTCTCGGTTAAAGGTATTCAAATGAAATTCAGTACAAAATGTATAATTCACATGAGTAGTTTTGAGGTTTGTATAGAAAGCAAACCACATTATGGGAGGGCAGAAAGCACCATTTTTAATATAAGTCAATTTAAATAATATTCTAATTACTCTGTTCCACAAACCCATATATGGAATGAAGAATAAATGTTTGTTCTAGTACCACATAAAACTGCATTCACTCGACCCTATTCGCAACACCTCAGAATCTATATAAATTCGATTTTAATTAATACAATTTAGTCACTTCGCCAGGGTAGTTAAATGCAAATGACTTAAGTGTTTCGGACAAAAAATCCTTTAAGGAACATTTCGTATTTCGTATTTCGTCCTCATGTAGTTTATTACCTTTTGGAGCGGCGATTTTCTATTTGCTGTAAAAATTGTTGCTTTGTTAGATTGTATTCACCGGCAATGGTGGATTTGGCGTTGGTCCGAGCACGCGAAGTGTGTGCATTTGTCGTCAAATCCTTATCTGCAGCGGTGATCGGAGCTGTGCTACTACGAACTTTGTCCTTGGAATATCCGTCAAAGTTTCTGTTACTACTGCTATTGTTGTTAAAGTGACTGCTGCTGTTGTTGTTGTCGTTGTTATTGTTGTTAATGTTGTTGTTGTTAATGTTGTTGTTGGTGGTGTAGAAGTTGTTCAAAACAACAGGATGCGAAGAATAAGCGTACACATGTTGTCTAAGAAATGCTGGTAAGGGTAGTTCCTTTGGAGGTGGCAGAAATACACCCGTCGGGACAGTGGTAATGAAAAGTGGTCGTTTGTTGAGCAATTCTTGACCGGTGCTGCCCTGTAATTTTTTTGTTCATTTTCATTCTTTTTTTTTTCTTGTTTTTGTAAAAAGTCTAATGGTATGTAATGGGCGATGTGACGAAACTTTTGTATGGTTGGATAAGTTTTGTGGTTTATAGTTCTCTGATTGGTTTTTGTTGTTGTTGTTGTTTGTGTTGTGTTTTTTATTAAAGTGACTTGAATATTTTCTTGGTATGTCATAAAATTGAATAAATTGTGGAAAATGTGCTTTTCTATTTGCAATGTATAAATAAAAATCGCTATTTTTAACGGTGAGTAATTCACTAGGTTATGGGTGCCTATTAAACAATTCTAGAATTTTGTTCATTTAATCTCTTTATTATAATTCCACATAAACGCTACTTATGTCCCCCTCATATGTGAGAAAATTATTTGTTTTTTTAATTTAATTAAAGTTCTTAAAGTTGACTTAGGATGTATAAATTAGCGTTAAGTTTCTAATAAAGAAGTCACCTATTAAAAAGATAAAATCAAAAATATTCTCACATATATAATATAAATAACTTACATTTTTTCTAGAGTATTGGAGATAAGAAAAGAAAGTAATACTAACACTAAAAAATAAGAGATATTAATATATTAAAAACACTTCGGGTTTTATTTCAAGTAAAAGTTTAATGAAACATTAATTGATTGATTGAAGAAATGAGAAACTAAAGTTGGCTTTATATGCACGTACTTATATATATATATATATATATACTTACGTATATACTTATGTATATATATATATATAAACATACTGTTCCGGAATTTAAGAAACTTTTTGTTTTTGTACATACATATATGTATATATATATATGTATATACATATATATATAATTAAGGTGTTTCCGAATATAATCATATAAAAACTGTCAGTGATATATTTTAAATATATACTGAGACACAGGGAGTTAAAAAAAGTTTACTTGAAAAAAGCAGTCTAACACCCTTAATACATAGATCTAAACATTCTTATATATGAATAAAAATAAAAGGATGTTTCACAGAAAAAGACGTATTTAACAAATAGAATAAAAGATTTGCTTATTAATATCATAAAAGCCAAACCTTCTCCAATGCTAATGGGTAAAATCAACTGAGTTTATTTTTATAATTTGTATTAAAAAATTGTGAAGGTGTATTTATGATATCCGATATATGTAATAGCAATAGCTATTAAATGACTTATTTTATTAGTCCAAAAAACATACTATTCCGGAATTGATTTCTCCAATTCAACGACCTTTTTGTTTTTGTACAGATAGCTAGGTTAAGAAAAATGATAGTCATATGTTGGTTAGACAGTATATGATTACATTAATATGCCTTGTTGGACTTATCAACAATATATATTTTTATATATTATATACAGTTGCAAGACTATCAAAGGACTATCGCTGTGCTTTTATTTAATGACTAAGTAATTACTAAGTATCAGAACGACGTATTATTCACTAGCGATACCTGACGTAGACATCATGTTCGATGCCAACACTTTTCTCACTTTATTGAGATTTAAATCCATGCTATCAGGATGGTTTTAGAACTGTTATATAGAGAATTAAAGAAAAAACTTGATTCTGGGTAGGTTATGCCATATAAGGCCGTAAATCTTACAATCTTTGATTCATATTAGAATTTAAAATTTAAATATTACGATAGGCTTTTTTATTTGACGCTAATATAGTTGGGCTATGAAAGTTCATTGTGATAAATATTTCAATCCATATAAAATATACTGTCTTTAAGTAAAACTAGACCCGGATGTGGAATTTGAACTTTTCAAGAGTATAAAAATAGTTGTGCGTATCTATGCGCTACGTAATGTTATAGTTCAGAAAAATATATCATATCAAGAAGTAGTCAATTTGATATTTAAAAAAGGAACTGAACTGTAGTAATGAGACCAAAAAAATATGATTTCTTATTGCTTATCCTATATACACATTCTGTAGAAAAAATTTAATGTTATTGAGTTCTGGTGCCAAATCATTTCAGAAGTTAGTTCTTAAACAACTTAAGGACTCAAAAAGATATTCCAAGTAGTTTTGTGACACCGTAGCTAAAGTCTAAGAAATTTTTTATACTTAATACCCTTCTCCTTTTCAATCAGGAAAGCTTGTTTGTATGTAAATGGAATAGTGTAGTGCATATACATATAGACACATATCTGCCTTTAACTTGAACATTTTTCTTACTAACTTCTGGATATGTATTTGTATTATGGGAGCGAAAATGTGGAGATGTGAACTAATAGTTTCTGTTCACATAATGTGTGCTCTGCACATTTTCAATTTATTGTATATAGTGTGACATTCCATTAAGAAAATTAATGTGTCGTGTTTAATCATGTAAAATAAATACAAAAAAGAAAATTCTCCTACGTTTCGTGAGTCATATTTTGATTTATACAAAATATCTTGATTTTCCCGCTGACGTAGAAAGCGCAGTTTGCGATTCAATTCCTCGGTAAATTTGTCCACATCACTTCCAATCTGTACAGGTTGTGTTACCGAATTACTTGATGGCTCAGATTGCTGCTGAGCGCTATTTTCGCCTGCAATAGTGGAAAGATCATGTTGTGCCCTAGACAAGTTAAAATAGTCTTCAGTTCGTTGTAGAGGACGCACTATGGCGTTGGGCTTATGATTGTAGGGCAACTCCTCGTTATTCAAGACAGTGAAAGAAGTTATAGGCTTGATTGGGTAGTTGCCTAATGGTAGTGAATTGCCGAATTTGTTGTTAGTGGCTAAGCTGAAACGGCTGGTGGCGTATGTGGAGGCAAAGGAGAAGTTCTGTGGACGTATAGCCGCAGTCGAAACAGAATTGTTAGTAGATTGGATAGATCTCGTGTCGTTAGTGGTAGTAGTAGTAAGGAAGTGCGTTGGACTTATGTGCTCAATACCGTTTTTAATATTTTGCATTACGTATATTTCGTAGCGAGTAAAAATGATAAAAAACAATTTAACACTTTTCCAGGCTTTTCCACATTTTTCATATAATTTTATTTATTTTCTAAGTCATTTTCACACGAATAAAATGTTTGCAAGTAACTTTTTGTTTTATTGAAGTTAATCAATATTTTTTGTGTGACAAAAAACCGCACTGACCGATTTTGCCACAAAAGTTGTCGCACGTTGAACACTCGGAAAACAAATGACCAGAGCACACGCAGCTGAGCCGCATTTTGTTGGTGGCTGAAGTGACCACACGAGGCTAACAGCTGTTAACAATGGCAACAGCAAGTGCCAGCAGAAGCACATGGCGTTTGGTAAGAGCGCAAAGTGGTCAACAGAGAGCAATACTACTCGAATAGAGCTAAATATAGCCCCAAAGGCCTTACAACTGAGTTGGGTGAGTTAAGTGAGTGGGGCTGTATACGAACAAATGTGGTTAGTTTATGAAAGAGGGCATGCGGAGTTAAGACAAAGGATGACAACGACTCATTTAAGTGGACTTTATGGAAACTAATTCATTTGGTGTTAAATACATTTTTACCAATAACGCCAAATGTTAACGATTTATTAATAATCCTTGGCTGACTAGCCAGAATTGATTAACTTCATCAGAGCAAGAAATTGGCAACTAGGAAAAATTGCTAAATTTGAAGGAAATTAGTTTTGCAATTTATTTGCTCGTGTGAGCGTAATTAACGGGTTTCCAGCTTAATTAAAGTTTTTATATGTACGAGTTTATGATTAGGGTCCTTAAAGACTTCACAAGCGGTTTTGCTTCGAAGGCGATTAAAATAAATTTAATTTATTATAATTAAACACGCATTCTGAGAGTTTCGCGTGCTGCTCTCTCCTTGTGGTCGACTAACAAAAGTCCTTTGTCCTTGCCTAAGTTAAACAGCGTCCACCTATTGTGAGGTGCTATGTTAATTTTGTCCTTGGTTGAGGCCAGGTTGGTATTAACGGCGCTTATCTTGGCATTAGGCATTCATATTTCATTTCAAACACAAATATTAAATTAATTGATTATAGCTTTCATACTTGGACATCTCTTCTATTTTGGGTAGGTGGCAACGCTACATATCCGCGGGAAATTACAATTTCATATTTCTGAGTATCACTTTCAGTTAAGCATAAAAACGCCGACAATAGGTCCGAGAACTGGATAATTTCTTGTAAATATTTGTTAGGGATTTTAAAGGTCAAATGCGTAGAAGTGCGCAACGAATTAAAAAGTAATGGGAAGGAAACTGAAATTTGCGTTTTAGTTTGAAGTTTAGTGTCCAATGATTCATGGAAGGGACAAAAAACTCAGTGCGGTTGCACTTAATTGCTTGTTCGCCCTACTCATCTCAGATAAATTCGTAACTTAGCTGAAAAGAAATTCAATTATTTTAATGTATTTGAAGAAGCGATTACGTGCTGTTAAGTAAAGTGAAATCGATTTTTTTAAAGTTTTTTCTTGGATTCTAATTTAAAATATCAAATAAGTTTCTGTTCTCAAGAAAAATAAATAAGTTTGGAAAGGAAGTCAAATGGAAATTTCCATACCAGACAACAAATGAAGTACATATGAGTATATGTAGAGAGAAGTGTGTCTGTGAGGACTGTGGGTGAGGATTAAGAAAAGGACATTACATTGGAAGTAATTAAATTTGAATTAATTCAAAAAGTAGAGTATATGGTATAATAGAAAATGAATCATTTCATTTTCAAGCCATAAAGTAGTTTATGGTTAAACCATCACACTTTTCAGAGAAATTGATCGATTTGACATTGAAGCGTTTAGAAAATATATAGCATATATACATACAAATGAGACCATTTGACATAATACAAAACTTCAGACCATTGTGATTATATTCCGGTATGTGGTGTTGTTTCCTTAAATGCACTTATATTTTTAATTCCTTCTCTTTTCTCGGTTAATTAAAAGCTGTAGAAAAAGAACTCTACTTTGCCGCACAATACCACTCTCCAGCTGATTTTTGCTTTATCTTTTCAATTGCTAACGCCCATTCTCCGCAATTTATAATGCATTCTATCCACCTATCTTTTGCTTAGTAGTTTCTCTATTTTGTTACAAAGTGCTAGAGTAAATGTTACCGGTCTGTTATCTGCTACCAATCCATATTTATTGTTGCTTCCTCAATGATGTACATTTAATATCTCTCTTCATCAACTCATTCTTACATTTTGTATTGCTCATTGTTATACTTTATTCTTCACGTCCCAAAAAATTCCGTATAATTTTCCATTTAAAAACCGCCAGTTTATTAGTCTCTGGTATGGTATAATTCATTATTTTTGTGCTTTCTTTCTAGATATAGACATAGATAAATGGATATAGGCTTCTTTAGCTTTCAACGATGAATATAGCACCCATTTGACTATATTTTAATCAAAATTAATTTTATTTGATCGTAGTCTACCTCTCCCAGTCTGCTAGAAGCATTTTGGGATTCTTATTATACCTTTTAAAAGTTAGCATATGTATATCATATTCATATACGTATATAAATAGATGCTCCTTCTAGAGTCTACAACAAAAAATATAAGACAATTTTTCTAGAGATATGGATATATTTATATATATCTATATATAAAATATAGATTTTATTTTCGAGAAGTTCAACAGTTGGATTCATGATGGATCTGACCAATATAATAACACCAATGAGAAAGATATACAGAGAAGCTTTCGATATATAGAGAAGCAATATTTTGGAATATATTACTGCAGATGTGTAAACAAAACAAGTGAAAAGATTATATTTAATGTCACTAAACTATATATTACCTCGCCTGAGAAGCTAAAATCAGATTAAAAAAAGGAACACTGCTAGAACGGTAGATTAATTAAAATAGTTGGATTTCAGTCTACGTACTGAAGAAGCAGACTTGTTAAAATGCAATGTAAGAGATTTAATGTGACAAGTTTAGACTTTTTTTATAGTTCCAATGACGGGAAGAAGATTTCATCAACAATCACATATAATCTAGTACAGCTGTTGATAGATAGCTTAACGACACCTTTCAGTATATTTATGGATTATGGGTTAATGAAGTCGTATCGTAAAGGTCTCACACTGGATTGATTAATGGTCTGCAGTCTACAGTCTATGGTGTTATAACTTATAAAATTGGTTTAATTGATTGGTTTTAGTGGCGGCACATTTTCTTCTTCTTTTCAAGAAGCTGATAACAGTCATTTTGTTACCAAACTTTCGGTGATGAAAATCTTTGTGGTTGTTGAAGAAAAATACTTTCTGAAAATGTTCATTTGAAATATCCGTTAGTCTTATAAATTTGTAGACTTATATACTGGAATATCGTAATATTTCAGCATCTGGATTTCTGTCTGAAAAGAATATTCAGTTCTTAGTCATGGAGGTCTCTCCGGTGAACTGCTATTACTGTTACAATTGCACAGACTGTGCTATTTCCTTCTTGGCTCTGGTTAGTAAAATTTTCGTTATCGATAGTTTGTAGCTTGGTCAATTTGTCCCAATCCATTGTAGTTTTCCATTTGCTTTCTGCTGGTTTTCGAAAATGATTATGGATATATTTTTGTGCACCTTTTAATGACAATTAGATCAGTATTTGTTTCTCTACTAAAGTTTATTTAGATTTTATTTCTTTTCCTTTTATTACTTGGTGTTTTAGAATTCAGTTTAATAATATTATGTACTAGTTACTCACTGAACTCAGTTAAGTTTCGCACTGACTTTCTAGATTTGATTTAGTACTATAGTTGGAGAGCGTTAAAATTGCTGTTCAACTGTTAGAGAAAAAAGTAGTCTTAAAACCATCCATGCAATTATAGTAATCCCAATTCATCACCCAATGGAAAATTGTATCAAAGGATTATTAAAACTCAATTTCAGGACAGAGGTAGTTAGAGCTTATCATCAGTTCACGGTACCAGATAAAATAGATTTGGAGACCAGATTTCTATACATTTTAATAAAGTATGGTGAGAAGCTATTTAGGTATCCATACTATGGTATATTATACTATAGCTATGTAACCGTATTGACATTCCTTAACTATTACCACTACTCTTCTAAACATTCTCTGAGAAACTTGACATTCCGACGCCTTTTTACGAAGTTTCTATGAAAAATGACCACATTTCAATTTTATTGAAATTTTACTAAATTTTATTGAAATGGAAATGTGGCCAATTAAAAAGTCCTCACATCAAATGAAACGTAAACTGTCGATATTTGTGAGGCTTGGTTATTATGAATAAATTATTCACAATTCCATTCTAAAATTACAGTGCACGGTTGGGTTGAGGTATGATTTTCCTTTCGTTGATTGCTTCACTTTCCTTTTCGTTTTATTGACCTGTCAACGTCACGCGGTTAAGAAAATTTCATTGACCTTTCGGTCAGGAACTAAAGGCATTTTTGCTTTCTGTTCGATAATTGTTTATGGAATTGTTTATGGTTTGGCGCGTAATAAAATAATATTATTAACGTATTAATATTTCTTTAGTTTCTTTTGTGTATGGAAAAAAATGAAAATTAGTTTTTATTTACTCACTTTATTTTGGCTGTTATCTTTTGTTTCTTATTCGGCACCACTTTCGGTTGTGTGGACCAAGTATATGCACTCCTGCAGCCACATTTTTGCATTCCCTCACCCCATTTCAGTTCCATTTCTACGACATCTTTCCCGGACTTACTTGCTTTAAGATGTGTGTCCAATAGCAATGCTGGAATTTCGCCTTTACGATGAAAAGTTCCATTTCTGCAGCTTCGTTGCGGAACGGTGGGCATATTTCGTCTTTATTTATCACTGAAGCTGCTTGCGATTTAAACAAAAAAACGAATTGGTTTAAAATTTTACAATTCAAAGTTATATTCAATTAATTTCGCCTCGATTTTGTTCTTTAGTAAAAAAATAAAGTTTTAAAAATAAAGTTTATTTCCTCTGTTGCTTAATTTTAATTTATATATCAAAGCATTTTCGTTTTG